TACCATCAAATCGCATAAAAACAATATCTATATATTTGTATATTTTAATTATTTCTGTCAAAATTCAATGTAAAAGGTCGGGGGGGAGGTAGTGGTCATAATAATTGCATTATTTATTATTATCGACAACACAGCGTGATGACGGGCATGGACTATGGATAGGGCGGAGAGGCGGTAAGTGAGAGCGAGAACGCGTCTCGGCAGTCGCCAGTCGGCGGCGTTGAGTTGCCAGTTACCACTGCTATACCGTGGCAAGGCCGCAGCCGTGGTTTAACTCGGATGGGGCCCGTGATGGGGTGCTCGGGGGAATGGTGGCCGGCCGGCGGCGGCACGCGTGCGCATATGACAATGAAGCGGCGGCACGGCGCAAGCGGTATTATTCTAATTTATAATAATATAATACGACTATACGACAATAAGAAACTACTACCGTCTACCATGACGACCAGAGCATTCCGTACACACTGTTGGGCTTAAAAAAATCTATAAATAAGGATTATAAATATAATTAATATATATTCAAAGAATTAATTATCAACACCTTAATGGGTCAATGTATTATGTAATATAAAAATTATAATTTATAAAAACAAACTGTGAATGTTCAATACCGGCGTCTGACCGATTTTTAATCAACTATAGGTTTTTATTTCACAGTCAAATACTACGATACAATTGCATTTAAATTTAAACATCCCAATGGAATTTCATCAGTTGTCTTAAATTATAGACAAAATAATTATCAGTTTTGATAAACCTTCATCGTCATCGGCTAATCATAGTTTTTTACACTGAATTCGTAAGGCTCGTAACGCTGGCGATCGAGCAATTTTGGCATCGGGAACACACGTCAGTGCAGCAATGTTATGTACAACGCTTAGGCGCGTGCGCGTTCGTCTACACCCGGGGATCAGCAGACCGGGCAGACGTGTATCACATTCACATTATTATTATCATCGTTGTCGTCGTTGCGGTCGTGTATCGAAAGCGTGCGCGCCTACACGCACCAAATGCAGTATTTTTATGCGTGCCGGTGGGTAGGGCTACTAGCTCGGCTACCCCCCACCCACAAACGCAACGGAATCCGCCGACGGCCTACCGTGGATTATTGCCCATCGGGAGGACGACAGTGGGCCGCACCGACGAACGACACCACAGGCGCCTGTGGTGTGCGCGCGCGCTCCCGAGTTCCGCGGGACTCGCGTGATATGACGACACCGCACCACCACCACCACTGCAGTCATAATATAAGATATATCAGCTTATTACGGGCTACTATCATAGTATCATGGCCGATTGTTATTGTTATTATTTTCATTTGCGGAATAGTAAGTTTGTGGCGTTTAAGACTTCGAAATCAGTGCCTGACATAATTGCTATGCCTCTAGCCGCGTGTAACGATTTTGCACCGACAAAAGTGGAAAATGGACGCTGAAAAAAAAAATTCGACTACAAATTGATGTTTGTAGTTGGTCTATGAATTTTTTAGCGAGCTTACACATTTACGCTTTTCCTCCGTAATTTAAAATCTCTTGCAACTATTTCCAATCCAATTTTTCTACGCTAAGTCGTGTGAGTAGGTCGGTTGGTATGCGAAAAATGCTTGGCAATCATCGTGCGGCCGGTACCGACTACCGATATACCTGATATATTGTGAAAGAAATATTATATTTACACAGAAAAAGTTCCTTGCCGAAACAATCGGTTGCACTAGGACATTAAAAAAAAGTATCAAATTACTCTTATTTTTTGGCGGGAAACCGAAATGCCTAATTTACATTTGTTATTTGATGACATTTATACCACTATACATGGAATTTATATTAATATTACTATTACCGTCATCAAATACTGTCCAGAAAGCACTATAAAGTAACCTCAAAAACTTGGAATTCATAGAAAATGTGTGCAGTGATTCAGTAACATGTTAGACTAGATTTAACTGATAATAGGCTATATTAAAAGTCCATGTAGAAAAAGAATAATATTAATGTGACCTATGGATAAGGTTTCATGAACCTAATTAATAATTTATAAACTGCCTTGAACGTTGTTAAATAACTTTGAATATAAACACGTTAACATATTTGTATAAATAACTATCTAAAATAGTATAAAATTAGTCTAATCATTATCTAATCAGTTGGATACAGGACAAAAATGTTAAAATAACTTGAAAAATAAAGTAGTCCTTATGTTATCAATAATAGTGACATAGACCTATACTATATAATAATGTCTATGATACATGTAAATTTTTTTTTATCACTTGACAATTTATTATACTGTTATCTAAATAATATTACATTCATTATACATTTTGAAAACATTATAAAAGTGTACACTTGATATTAAATATATTATGTAAATTGAACAAAAATATTTTCAGTTTTTGTATTAAAAAAATCAATACCTACTGATAAACTGTTTAAAATGTTTAACACCAACTTGCTACCTACTTCAATTTATCTTTAAAAAGGACAAAGTACCTACCTACATGCATTCAAATATTAACTCTCAATATGGTAGTTTTATATGTTCCAAAATTACTTTATAGGAACTTGTTTAAAATCGAGAAAGGTATTTTAATATAAAAACATGAATAATAAAAATAAAACTTTTGTTTTTTTTAAGAATTATATTATTTATTAAGTTAACATGCTAAACTAAGTTATATGACACTGAAAAATAAAACATTAGACTCTAACTTTAAATCATTTCATGAGCTAATAGAATGATTTCACTAGACAGGAATATAGTCATAATTACACTACTTTCTTGGTACTTATAGTGGCAGTACCTATATGACAGTGAGCTATATTTTAATCAATCAAGGTATTAAGTAACTGGAAAATAACTATCAATAACCAAATTATATTACTAACAAAGCCTATGTGAGTAAGAAAAAAAATGGATCACTAATGAAAAACCATTAGTTGCTAAGTGAATTACTCAGTGTTATATTTTATAAATTTTGTAATGAAAATGAATACTTATAGAAAACTCAAAAAAAAAAACTAAATAATGAAATGAGTAAATTGCAAGTGTGATAAATAAAAACCTAGTATTTTAATCATAGAAGGCAGGGAAAAGACTAAAAATTGTACAAATTCAAATACTGATTTAAAAAAATAAATGTTCTAACAAAACAGATGGGTTATTTGAAAGTTATTTACACAATATTATCACAAATAAGCAAACACACTTTTATAGTGTCAAGTTCAATTTTTTTTTTTATGTGAAAATTCAAACTAATTATTAGTTGCAAACGTAGATAGTGAAACGCTATAAAAAAAACTAGTTCTAAAATACTTTTCATCACATGAAAAGTCAACAGTATCGTGTACACTTTTACTAATTGATGGTGTTAGGACCTAAACAGTGAGGCTCTAGATTGAATATTGTTGGTGGCCACTGGCCTATTAAACCCTGACAGATCATTAAACGCGAGTGGACAACTTAAGTGGACAGATATGAACAATGTTTGGGAAACGGCGTAAACCGGCAAACAAGTGATAAGCAAAGGTGAATTTAGTGTTAAAATGAAAATACCGCCATTTCAGTGTTCGTCAGATGAAAAATTGCATCGCAAACACCGGTGCTGGGGGACCACCGAGTTCCAAGCAAATACTGACGGACATGTCTTGATGTTGGACAGTTTTTTCAAACCAACTACATACTGGAAACCCACGAACAATCGAGTAAATTTCGAGTAAATAATTAAATTTGTACATGTACCTGGAACGTAAACATTACGAACGTGTCGGTTTATTGAGCACAGGAAATCTGATTGCGGCGGCCTCGGCCTTTGTCGAACGGAACACTTGATCGCCGGCGATGTACACACGGATATTTCGTATAACATTTAATTTAAAACGCGCACAACGACGAGTAATCGACATGAAAACGTTAAAAAACTCTCGTTTAACCTAATCGGCCATCTTGTCCGTGTTCTCGAAGAATAACAAAACATCATCGATTCCGGGGGGAACAGGCGTTGGAGTGGGGATGCGCCAGTCCACCGGCGCGGAGCATGGAATGTACGAATGGCGCAGCATTAAATCGCTTCCTCCATGATTTCATTGATTAAACGCTCCAAGAGCGCGTTGTCTAACGTCTTTGGTATGCCCGATAAATGTGGCAATTTCGAAAACTATTACGGAAAATATGAAACCCTCGTCCGAAATATCTATTCCAAATTACATAATAAATAATAATATATTATTATACCGTCATATTTTCTATATAACTGATAATCTCATATTATACACTAATAATCAGTTTTGTTTATTGTTTCATTCTCGAAAACCTGAAAACATAATACACACAACAATTACCAAGTCTGGCCATGTTCATAGCCACGGTTTTTTCTTTTTTTTTTTTTTTTTTTATCTTGGCCTTGGTACATATCAAATTGATGTGTATGTTCTTTTGAAAATTAGTCTAGTGATGGGAATAATCGAATGATTTTAATAATCGAATGATTAGTAATCGATAAATTTTATAATCGAATGAATCATTCGAATAAATCATTCGAATGAATTTTTCACTCGAATAATACAATAATCGAATGCTTTTTTATCTCACTAGTCATTACCCGTATACTACAACTGACTACTTTATACTTTTTTTAAAGAACAAATATTTAATTTAAGTATTTAATAATAAAATATAAAATAAATACCATAACATAAAATATTTCAAACTGATACAATATTAATAACTAAATAATAATAATACTTATATAAAATCAATATATTAATAATAATTTGAAAACTGCATCTTGCATTGAGAAAAAAAATGTTAATTAAAACTGTTAATTTATAAATTTGAGTATTTAATTATAAAATATAAAATAAATACTATAACATAAAATATTTCAAACTGATACAATTAAAATAACTAGATAATAATAATATTTATATAAAATCAATATATTAATAATAATTTGGAAACTGCATCTTGCATTGAGAAAAAAAATGTTTATTAAAACTGATAATTTATAAATTTAAATTTATATTACTATTTAAAAATACAATATAATCCAAATTTTTGGGGTGAAGTCTGTTCCGACGGTCGTTCGTTATTTGTCCCGTTTTTGAAAACACGCGTTCTGACGGAACAGCAGTCGCGGGAACACATAAATATTTTAATTGGAGCGAATAAAGTTCAGGAAATGTATTTTTGTGTTGTTTCCAAAAGTCTAAAGGGTTTTTTGTTCGATTTAAATAGGGCATTTCTAAATATTGCCGTATTAAGAGAGAAGCCGAGATTCCCGTTGATGAGGTTGTTCTAATTTGGGAAACTTTACTATCAAAGTGTTCCCATAATAAATTAGGTTCTCTGTTGATAGGCATAATAGATGTTTCGTTCTCTTGAGTATTTCTCATTATAGAATTAATTTCATCTGTTATCCATTTCTCCGTAATATTTGCATTATCCACTAACCCAAATCCTGTCTTTTTAAATCTTGGATCTAAAAATGTAGCTTTTGCTACTATTTTATTGGATTCTAATATCCCTAAACGCCTAGCTAAAACATCGATTGCTGTTTTTTTAAGTAAAGTACCGGCTGCTGTTGTAGTAGTTTTGTTTCTCAATGTATACTGAAGTCCAGGTATCAAAGGAATGACTATGGATAGTGTTGGATAATGTTCTCCAGATAACTCAACTGTCATTATTTCAAAGGGTTTTAATAACGGAAGACAGTCAGATATTAATTCCCATTCTAACGCGGTTAAGAAATTTGGAGCATGAGGAAGAAATGTTATCGCGGCAGATAACGGTGCTTTAATTTGAATAAGTCTTTCCAACATTATCACACTAGAATTCCATCTAGTACTAACGTCTTGTTTGACTTTTAATTCGGGAACATTCATTTGGTTTTGTATTTCTTTTAATTTTGTAGATGCGGAAACACCTATTCGGAATACTTGTTTTTTTTATATAGGTATACTCTAATATATTACTAATTATTACTTATTAGTTATTAACTATATTAGTTTTAATATAATTTATAGCTAATAGATAGCCAGATAGGTGTGTACTATCGAGATTATAATAAATAATAATGTTCATTGTTCATTTATAAACAAAGAATTAAAAAAAAATAAATATTTTTGCTATTGAAATCTAAATCTACTAAAAAAAAGTATTCGAAAAATATTTGGAATACTTCACAAAAAGTATTTTGTATTTTCAAGTACTTAGGAATATTATTATCCTAAAGTATTCGAATACATACTCTGGATACTTTTTTTTAAGTATTCGGAAAATGTATTTCAAATACTTTTAAAAAGTATTTTACCCATGCAAGTCTGGGTAAGAGAAGTAAATGTAAAAGTGAGATAAGAAAAGCATTCGATTATTTTTAGTTTTTACCATAACATGTTTATTTTATCCTTAGATACGATTTTATCATGATTTTTATTTTTTACAACTAATTTTCTCATTCGAATGTTTTATTCGATTATTTTATCATTCGAATGTTTTATTCGATTATTTTATCATTCGAACGATTATTTCATTCGATTATTCCCTAAAAATTACATTAGATTTATATCACGGTTATAAATTAATAAATTATAATATGCTTGTTCCATTTTTCTTACAGTGAAATGTGTAGTTTTGGATTTAAAAGTTTGAATTACCTACTGTAAACATTAAACATTTTAAATGAAATTATAATTTTTTTTTGAATTCAGTAAACCTGTTACAACTTTTAATAATTACAGTTATAATAGAGTCTCGATCTCCATTCAAAATTAATTTTCAATGACAATTTTAGTTATTTTGTTGTAATTTAAAAATATTATTTATGGGTACTTGAAACGTTTTATGTACCTACCTACCTAAATTATTATATTTTATCTACATAAATACACAATGACATTGTAAAAATTAATTCAACCTACCGTATTACTAATAAGTATAAATTATAGTAGAATAAATTACTTTTATAGAATTTTATCACAAAATATAGGTAATTAGTAATGGCTGACCGACAGTCTTCGCTCTGAATCTTTTTTCATAATTATCATTGGATTAAAATTTGTCACATCCCTTACAGTGACCCACCCAACACCTAGAAGCAGATCGGTACCACCTTATTTACCTCTGTATTTAATATTTATAGATAAACCAAGTAAATTTAAATATAAACTGTGGATAAGTAGTTAGGTACCACCCGATGTATAATAGTTATAATGGACGTAAGATTTGAATTCAAATATTATATATTATTATATACGGGGAAATATTCTGTGCAGAGACTAGTCTTTGCTAGGCTCTAGCATATTTGTATTATGAAAATGATATATTTCAAAACCTATATTTAATATTGTTTTTAGTTATGTTTTACTAATTAATCAGCAAATTTGTACATGTTGCTGAAGCATAGGATCACCGTCACTCTTTTAACATGAATCTTATTCCATAATAATAGACTTCTAATAAGTATAATTATTATGCTAGCTTTTAGCTTTATATAAAATTTGGATGAATTTGTATATATTTATACCGATTCTATGAAACAGACTACTTTCATCATATAGTCCGTGTTTACAGTTTATACCATGAATTATGAAGACTATAATATCATTAATATGATACATTAGTTGTATCTTTTACGATCAGTATTAATTGTTAATAATATTACTTGTATTAGTAACAATTTAAGCTACATATATCTGTACCACAGAAGTCAACTAGCGCAAGTCACAAAAAGCAAATTTTACAGGAGAGACAAAACAAAATATTTGTTGCAATGGACTTACCATCGTATACTTGAAAAATATTATTTTGTATTATCTATATATATAATTGTCTTATGTAAGCGCTGGACATACGTTTCTATACTCCTATCATAGTTTATGACTTACATAAGTATACTTCTTGCTATCTATGCAATTATTGTATATAGCACTTACGTTTTGATACCTTTAAAAAGATCACAAAAAGCATAATATTCTGATTATATAACTACATCAAAATTTCAAAAAATGGACTTGCGTTAGTTGACTTCTGTGGTACAGATAGATATATTAAATATTAATATAAATTATAATATAATGATATATTTATATACCAGTTGATGATCTAGTAAAAAATGTTCATGCACACCAATAATTCATATAGAAACAGTAAATTCTTTCCTAAATTTATTTAAAGTCATACATTTAAAAGATATCTAATATTTGAAGTAAACATTTTGTAGTGTAATTAGAACATGAATAATATCATACAAAATAAGTCAAATAATCTAAAAAATTTACTTGATCAAAAATAATTAATTCATAATTGTTTGATATTTCTAACCATATTCTTTCCGGTCATTTGACTGATAACCCACAAGTTTATATATTATATAATTTACATAATATGTAATATATTATATAAACAACAGAATTTTGATGAAAAAAATATATTAAAAACTTAATTCAAATTCTATTAAGAATTGTTTTTTTCTAATTGTACATATTTGAAGAGGTTGTATAAATAAATAATATAAATGGTAATATATAAATAATATTAGTAAAATACATAAATGAGATTTAAAAGTTTAAGGTTGTGTATATAAAAAAAACCTATTAGTAATAGATTACTATAATACATTTCTAAACTTAAAAAAAGGAACAATTTTACAAGTATAAATTATTTTAACTCAGCGTCTTTTCTTCTTGTCTTGTTTTCTCGATCTATGATGAGAATATGGACGTCTAGGTGATGCAAATGTACTGCCATCAGAGTCATATTCACTGCCATCACCGTTATCCTAAAATGCAATAAATTGATTTAGTACCTTTATTGTATACAGTTTAAGGTTAATAAAATAATATTTATTATTACAGCAATCGATACTACCAACAATAGAGCCATACTTTGAAATATTATAATGACTAAAGTGATAAATGTAGTAGATTAATAATTATAATTAAAACAAACAATTATTTTAAATATTGTAATAGGAGTTATTGTGTGAATAATTAAAATAAGGTTGGTAAAAACAAACTAATAGTTAATACATTATACTTTTTTACAGTTGACGTAGTAAAAGTAATTTTATTAAAGTTCTTTATATAGGAGCAATCTATTGATAAACAGTAAACGCGCTAGTGCATATGGCACTATTTTTACACAATATTGTTATTTTGAGTTAAGTTGTTTTATACATATTGTAGTAAACAAGTACTTTTTTACAAGTATTTAGAATACAAACTTATTTTAAAATGGGACTGTGGTTCTATTGGCATCTACTCTGCACATCATTGACTAAATACACCTATATTTCATTAACTTAAAAAAAACTTAATAGGAATTAATTCTGCATTATTATTTATTGATAATTACTTTTGAGTCATTAGATTGGTCAGTCAATAAAAATACAGTTGTTATGCATACTAATTGAAAAATGGCAACTAAGTATAAACCATAGCGGATTACAGCATCAAATACTTCATCTGATTCTTCCATCGGAAACATCTTAAAAACTAAAAAAATAATAATATTATTGATTTATGCATAATTAGGTGAATTAGATGACATAAATATAAAGTGTTCTATTAAAGTGTAATATTTATTACACTTTAATTAGATGTACCAAATTATAAAATAAAATAAAAAAATGTACAAATATTTTTAAAATTTAATCAAGTCAAATACCAACGTTTAGATTGAATGTCCTTTTGAATACAAGTTTGTTACAAAAGTTTGTAAAATAATTGTTGTTAAAAACACTACAATCGTAGCAATCTGAAGTTATCAATGGAATAATATTTCTTCTAATTTAAATGTATAAGCTGATGCTATGTATTTTTTTTTAAAAATTTACACTTTTCAGACTTATTATATTAATATAGGTTTTAAGTAAATTTAATTTATATTAACTCAGTAAATATACAAAAAATGTTTGGTATAAATCAAAATGTAGAATATTATAAAAAAAACACTAATTCAAAATGTTAAAATTCTACAGTTCTCGTGTCAATGTGTCATAGCCATTTGGTCATTAAGGCATTAAGAATTCCACAATAATTACACTTTTTACAGAATAATCGTTTTCCATTGATCAATATAGGTAATCATATCAGTAATAATAACAAGTAATAACAAAGACCATAGATAATGATTGCTACCAACTATTTACGTTTCAAATAGTGTAACCATTGATAATAAAGACTATGTATTATCTATGGTTGATATGGTTATTGTTGACCTAGTTTGTTAATTGTTGATGAGTTCTTGTCTCTTGATAATAAAAAAACCTTTAAAAACTGTTGCTATCAGGCATTTAAGCTGCTTAAAAAATATTAAGCTGATTCAAAATTAAATTTATTTCTAAATTTTACTCAAAACTGGCGTTTCTGGTCGTTTTCAATTTTCATACTTTTTCTTTAGTTTTATCCGTTTTAAATGTTTGATAAACTACAAAAATAGTAATATTTAATGTTTCTAATAATAAATTAAAAAAACGTAGAACTTAACTAGACACCTTATTATAATTTATAACATTATTTTCTGTTCTTCATATAATATAATATAATATATGGTTTCATTCTTCAAATTATTAATATTTTCATAGATTTTGTTACATGTATGTACATAATTATTTTACATCTTTAGTACCTACTCAATGTAAATTTACAATATTATTTAGACTGGTCTGTTATTACTAATTAATATAAATTTATTATAGTTGTCTGATGTCTATAATGTAATATTAATTACATTATTAATATTGGTAGGAATATATTTTACGAGTATTTATTATTAATAAGTTTTATTGTTTATAGTTATGAACCTTTTTATAACAATTAAAGTATACTGGTAATTATAAATTATAATATTATATATATTTATTTTTATTTGAAAATATGTCCTTATCATTTATTAAAATCATTAACAATTAATGTACATGATGTAATTGTTAATATTTTTGACAATTTGATTTATAACATTTAGGCTCTTATAGAATTTTGAAAATTTATTTGCTTTTGATATAAAAGTTTTGACATTTGAACTCAATGCAATGTTATTCATTCTATGTTTTTCTAATTGTACAGAATTTATTTGTTTAAATTCCACATTATCATAAATTAAATGTAATGACCTTCATAATTATTTTGGTAAATCATAGGAACAAAATTTTAGAATTTTAACAAGACAACATTTTTTGTTTATTTTTTTACTGTTTTAATAATAGGTTGGTCTATAATGATATGTAAAAATTGAAATCAATATATTTTATGATTGTACTATTGTAGTGATTGATGAACATTTGTCTGATTTCCTGATTATTTTTAATTTCTTACAAATAACTACCGTTTGAGTTTAATTATGTTTCATTAAGTAACTAAATAATAATAATCTAAGTATGTGACAGTAGTTTAAGTTATTTATATTTAATTGTAGACTTATAAACCAGGTGTATAAACTTGAAAATTACCATGACTATAATTAATTAATACTTTCATGAATATATTTTGTTCTAATGAGTTATTTAAATTTATTCTTCACTTGTGTCTAAATATTATTCGGCACAAGAAATCTATAGGGAACAATAATAGTTATTCAATGCACTTATTAAATTATATTTTCAATACATCACTGAATAGTGAATACTGATTGAGTGTATTTTTTTTTACTTACTATGCAAATTATAACTGAAGTAAAAACAGAGAAATCATTTTGCAAGTGAATACTTTTATAATTCAATTATGATTGTTAGGTTAAATAATAATATAGCTATACCTAAATATAAGCTTTGAAAAAATATTTTATTGATCTACCAATGGCTCAGCGTATGTACCTATTGATAATTCTTTGTTATTGTTATGCTATGTAAAATTGGTTTTAATAATGAATACTAACAAATTTATATTGAATGTGAGTATAGTACTAATATATAATAATTTAAATGTTATCATGGAAAAATTCTTTTTAAATTAAAATTGAAATAGTTATTTATTGTTAATTAGATGACAAATATTATTTAGGTGTTAAATATTTTATTTTAATAAATTACATGATTTATTTAAATATTCCTAAAGTATAACCATTTATACAACTTAACATGATATTATTTAGAACAATGGGAATTGGAATAATATAGTTATTATTTTATAATACTTATTTTTTTTTTTTAATTTACCAATACCCACCATGGGCAGCCATAACTGACATTTGATATTAAAATTAAAAATCTTTATATAATAATACTTAAAAACAAATAACTTTTTTTTCAAGCATACTCACATTTTTAAAGAATATCTTATATCAATATTTAAAAAATGTTTATTATAATTATGTAAATTTAAATTGGCATAATAAACTATTTATTGCAACAGTTAAAAAAAATATTATTACATAAAGTACTATATAGGTATTAGATAAGAGGGTGAAAAAAATTATTAATCTTTGACATGACATTCTATGTATAATGATATAACTTTAAAGTTAATTTAATATTATAAGTTAGTCATTTATTTGATTGTGATAAAATACCCATTTACTATTTAGCATTTATTATTTAATTGGATTAACCAGATTAACGTTGTTAGGTACTCAGTGATTTAGGTTTTTTCCGATTTTATTGGTAATATATTTTATTTATTTGCTTAATTTCCTGTTTTTAATCTTAAAACATGAATTATTAATAATAGATATGAATAATATCATTCAAGTGTTAATAAAATAACTTTTATTTTAGACTAACAATGGAACCATCTGTTAGTGGACCAACATTTGAAGAAATTCAAATTCCTGTACCATTTGGTTTTGTGAGTGGTAAGTATTAAAGTCTTATTATTAACAATTATTTGGAGACATGAGTATTTATAGACATAGGCGTGCGCAAACTTTTATTTGCAGGGTAACATACCTAGCTCAATTCAAAAAAGAACTTCCCAAAAACTCACTTACCAATAACTTATTTACCATATAATAGAAATATATGGAAATTACCATATAGAAATTAACATGCATTTTATTTAGTTTAAAGTGTGTATTGTGATTTAATTCCAATAAAGTAACTGCATAAAAACGTACAAACATTTGATCATAGTATCTATCTATCTATCTATATGTATAAAAGAGAGTTCAAAACAATTTCAGACCATATTTTATAACTCAAGAATGGCGGGACCGATTTCAAAAACTCTTTCATCATTACAGTGGCATATCTAGGATTATTTTCTAGTTGGTGATATGACCAAAACTATTTAGTACATTAGGGCCAGGTCGCCAGGAAGACAAATATCTAGGATATCTATATGTTATCTTACTTTCTGTAAGTTTCACTATATAGGCCATTTTGCCATGATGTTATTTAAAACTATACCAACACTTATAATATTATACATTTATTTTCATGAGAAATTAACAAAATAATATTTATTTGTCTTGGTTTTCGAGACATTTTATCCAACACTTCGTCTAGATTAATGTCAATATCGCGATGAATGCTTAACATCGCTAAAACATTTAGCCTCTTCTAAATTGAAAAAATAAAACATTTCAAAATGCATAAGTTAATATATTATTTCAGTATTACTTCGGATATTGTGTTGTGTAGATATGATTTAATCCTTTTTAAACTTGAAAATGACCTTTCCGGATAAGCTGTAGAAACTGGCATATATATAGATATACACAGATATACAGCTTCATTGCTTTTTTTAGCAAAGCATCAAATGCTGATTTCAGTGTAATGTTTTGGCTTGCAAGTTTGTCTGGCCGGCAGCCCGTGCGCGGGGTGAAATAAATCAACAACCTAAAAAAAAACAGGCTCTGGGGGATGATATATCAACCCCCCGTAAATACGCCACTGCATCATTAGAATGTTACATTATCCCTAAGTGATGTTTGCTTATTTAAAAAGGGGAAATTAAAACCCGGGAGGTGCTCAAACAGAGATTTGGAGAACTATGGTGGACATTTTTGTTTATAAATGGTTGCTTATGGTTATTGAAGAAATAATAAGTAGAAACAATTATTTTATTTCTATATTAGTTGCCATTTGTAAATCAGGCAGATCAAATCTAATTTTTGCACATTGCCTACCAAGGTGGCCGAGTTGCATTTACTGCAGAGAGTTATAAACAAAAAGAGTTGAACAATCACAATTGTTTAAGAGTTGTCATTTTGTACCCACGGGCAACAAAGTGTGTGGTATTAGCTAGTATTAATATAATAATAACAAACATTTTTAATCTAATTAATCGAAATTCTTTTATTTTTGATAGTTGTTGGTAGTATGCAAGTAAGCAATACTGTAAGGGCTTGAACGTTCTGGTGACAAAACTTGCAATTCACACAAAAATGGTGGATTTTATTCCACCTTTTACCTATGCTATCATGAGTTAGCAATCTGTTTTATTATTTATAGGTACCTGTGTTGATTATGAGCATATAATTATGAAACCTAATTAATATTTGATTTTTTCTCAACTTCCAATATTTTATTATAAGAAAATAGGTAATATAAAAATATTAAAATCTTGAACTAAGATACTATGAACTATCTTAGTTTATGATTCTAATTTTTAATCAAAACATTTACAACTAAAAACTATATGGTTATAATAACTCTGTAGGTGAAGCCATGGCATCCCCCCTGTACACGCCTATGTTTATAGTTATGCAAAGTATCATCACCAGACACTCTTTTTACTTATACCACCACATCCTATTCTTGTACAATCCATTTATTGTATAGGTAGGTAATATTTAAAACAGAATGTTAATTTTCTATTTTAATAAAAAGTAAGGTATGTACATTTTCCATTGCACTACTTTTTAACATATTGCGACTTAATATTATCAATATTTTTTTATTCATATTTTAATCATAATGACTAGTACTTACCTAATTTAAATTTCTACCTATGAGTTTAAAGAAATATATATTTCCCATACATACTATGTTCAATACTGCTCTATGTATTATTATAATGAATACGTTTATTTGTTTAGGTAAATGGTGGGGACCAAAAGATAAACAGCCTATAATTGCAATTCACGGATGGCAAGATAATGCTGGGACTTTTGATCCTTTAATTGAATTACTACCAAAAGATTTATCTATTTTGTGTATAGATCTTCCAGGACATGGACGATCTTCTCATATCCCAATGGTAAAAATGTATTTTCATTAAATTAACACGTTCACTGTGGATTATATTTTTGTGTACTTGCCGTGACGCTGAAAAAAATGTAGTTTTAAAAAAAAATATCCTGAAAATTTAAATATCAGTGTACGGTTTGCACGTGATTATGAGACAATGTTTATAGAAGACGCTGACAAAAACCAAAAGTTTAATCGTACCGCTGACCAAATTATAGACCATTAAATATCAAGGTACATGACGCCAATTGGCGTCATCCGCAGTGAACGTGTTAACTGTGATTTGTATCTGTTTTTTTACACGGAACATAAAAGATTTATAGCTGAATAATTTCTAATGTAATTTCACATAATCACAATCCAGTGATAAATGATTTTGTCCCTTCATAAGATATTCTTCACCAATTTTTCATAGTTTATTTTATATATAAAAAAAGTAATCTAATAAACTTTCCATTTGATGATCTGAGTTCTAAACATGATATGATATTTTTAATTATTCAGGAGTTATAATTATGATAAATTATTCACATTAAGACTAGTTTAATGTAATCACTAATCATGTGTTCTATAGGGTTTGCCTTATTATATATTTTGGGATGGCCTAGCTATTTTAAGAAGAATAGTGAGACATTACAATTGGAGAAAAATTTCTATTATGGGCCATTCTTTGGGTGCAGCTATTGGATTTTTATATGCAGCATCATACCCCGATGATACAGAAATGTTGATATCTATTGACACAGTAGCGCCAGTAATTATTGATCCTAGTGAAATTGTTAAAAATACAGGACCAAATGTTGATAAGTTAGTTTTATTTTATACATTTATACATACTTTGTATATCAATTGCTAAATATGGCAAATATATGATTAATACATAAATATCTAAAATATGTTTTAGACTCATATATTACGATGCATTAGGAGTTGATAAAATGCCTTCTTACAAATATTCAGATATGATTGATTTAGTGGTGGATGGACATCATGGTACATTGACTCGTAAATCTTGTGAAATACTTATGAGACGTGGCATGTATCGTGTTAAAGATAACAAATATTTGTTTTCAAGAGATATACGTCTTAAGGTAAATATATATAAATATTGTTTACATGCATATATTATAAGGGAATAAAGTGGCTGATCCAAGGCTTAATTTTGGGAGGGGGGCAAAATACAAAAAGTTCAAAAATTGGCTATATATAGTGTAAAACAAAGGAAAACTACGGCGATTAGGGAGGGGCAAATCCGCCACTGAGGGAATAACTGATTTGGACAAATAAACTTTCTATGTCCAGTAAAAATGTGCTATTAACCATCAATCTAATATATATATTATACATGAAGATTAAATTTGTCTGGAAATAGTACCTATTAGATATACTATAATAATTTTTACTTTAAGTTTAACTTATTAAAAGGTCTATTTATGTTTTTATTCAAATAGGTTTAACTTTATTTTGTAATAAAATATTAATAATAATAAAAAGGTGGGCAAGTGGGTGTCGCTCTGCTGTACAGTAGGTTACAAGTGGGTCACTGTATAATGGATGATATTAAATTTGAATTCAACGATATAATATCATTGTATAAGAAAAACGATTCTGAGCGGAGACGGTATGTCAGTCTATGTTTAAGACATATTATATACATATCTATGGTATTAAACAAAAAATTGACCTATAATAGGTACCTATAATAAATTCCAAATTAATCATATCACAATGTCCATTAGGTACTTATAACGCGTTATACATCAACAAAACCGTGATACTATCATAGATATATAATAGTACACTTTAGAAGTTTCAAGTACCCACGAATAATATTATTCAATCACAACAAAATAACTAAAATAGTTATTCTAGGTTTTTTAATATGTAATTTCGTCCAAATTTGAATTTAAAATGTCTGTAAAAAATAACTGTGTTCATATATTTTTTAGATTTTTTGGTTACAGTATGAACTATTTATGAGAACCTTTGTTTTAAATTTGCAATCCTTAGCTATAAAAACTGAACATTTTATAATTTGTTAATTTCAATGATTGATAATTTTCGAGATTTTGATAAATTTTGTCAAAATTTGATCTTTAAATGCTTATAAAAAAAAACTGTGCCTATGTATTTTTAATATTTTTCAACTGCTATTGTAACAGTATATCAGGAGCCTTGTATTAAATTTTTACACTTTTTGGCCCAACAGATAAAACTTTATTGATATTTATAGAAAAAAAAACTAAAAAAAATTGAAAGCTGTAAATGTCCATAAACAGCTCAAAAAGAGTCAAAATATTTTCAAAATTGTATGGTGTATAGAAAATGCTAATTTAAACATTCAGTGAAATTTTCATGTATCTACAGTTATTTGTTTTTGAATTACAACAAACTAAGGAAATCGCTACATGAGAAATCGAGTGAACATCCAATGTTGTAAAAATTTGAATTTCAAACGCTCATAAAAATTTAATTTGACTTTCTTATAGACATTTTTTTTTTTGATAAAGGTAGATAATCTTATAAGGAATCTTGTGTTAAATTTTCAAATCTTAGATTTAAAAAGAAAAATTTTTACGAATTCTTAACTCAAAATAATTTGCTAATTTTCGTGATTTTTCCATATTTTGTCAATTTTTGAACTTTAAGTGCTTATAAAAAAAAATTGTGACTAAGGATTTTTAATATTTTTCATCTGCCTTTGAAACAACATATTAGGAGCCTTCTATTAAATTTTCAAGCTTTCGCAACCAACAAATAAAATTTTATTGATATTTCTAGAAAAAAAACTAAAAAAAAATGAAAAATGAAAATGTCCCTAAACAGTTCAAAATAAATCAAAATATTTTGAAAATGTTATCGTGTATAGAAAATGCAAATATAAACAACCAGTGAAAATTTCATGTATATACGTTCATTTGTTTTAGAGTTACACCAAAAACCAAAATCGATTTTTTGGAAAACCAATTTTGCGTAAAAATTCCCGTTTTTCCTTAATTTTTATGTTGTTTTTCCCGGCGCTTGTGAAAACTACTGGGAAATTTATACTTTTGACCCCCCAAAGTACCAACTAGATTCACTTTCCTATCAGAAAAGCTACTGATGAAGAAAATCCAAGCACTTTTACTGTCCTAAAACGTGATGACAGACACAAAATAAAAAAAAAATAAAAAAAAAAACACACATCATTGTAAAATCAATACATTCATCGTTTCACTCAGAATCTAAAATCTAATTAGTATTGAAAAATACATACATTTAAAAATACATTTATGAAAAATTGCTGTCTAACTAGATCTCTCATAATTGCTACTATAAAAATGGGGGCGATGGTAAACCCTCTCAGGTAACATTATGTTTACCTGAAGGAATTATAATTTATTATTTACTATAATTTTATATTCTTGACTTTTTTTTTAATTTGTATGTTTATGTTATTATAAAAATTAAATTAAAATGTATAGGTATTTAATTTAACTTGGGAATTTTTTTTTATTGGTCTTGAAATTATAATAATTTCTGCTTTGACTACTAAGAACATTAGCATTATATTTGTATATACATTGCTTAAAATCTATAAAGAGGAGAAAAAAATAATTAGAATTTTTAAATCAAATATTTTAATATTTAGATATTTATGTACATTGCTAATGATCTTTTATTTAATTAATATCTCGACTTTATTTTTAGCTCATAGCTAAAGAAATTGGTTTATATTATTATTATTTTTATGACTTACTATAATTTATTAATTTATATACTCAACTTAAAAAAAAAATTTGTAAATCCATATTATTGTATTTCACATTATAATGAACAAACAAAGTTATTTCACACTGAGGAGAGTTCACACTGCAAATTCACCCTTAAACCTATAAACTATACATGTTATTATATTTGGAAGAGTTTCAAATTACCCAAAAATACTATTATAATTCTGATTCAGCTTCACAATGACTTTTAATTTAAGGGTGAATTGACCTATTATAAAATTTAAAGGTACGAACATTGATTATAAAATCAATGGTACAAATCTAGGACATCTCATAGGTATTTATTTATATTTAAGTTTTGAAGCAAATTAAATAAAAAAAACTTTAAGATTTTAAAATTGAATAATAAAAATACAAGATTCCTTATAAGATTATCTACCTGTATCAAAAAAATAAATGTGTATAAGAAAGTCAAATTAAATTTTTATGAGATTCTGAAACTCAAATTTTTACAACATTGGTTATTCAGTTGATTTCTCAAGTAGCGATTTTCTTATTTTGTTGTAATTCAAAAACTAATCACAGTAGACACTTGAAATTTATATCAGATGTTTATAATACAAGGCTTCTGATATATTATTACAATAGTAGTTGAAGAATATTAAAAATGCATAGCCACAATTTTTTTTATGGGCATTTAGAGTTCAATTTTTGATAACATTTATCAAATTTTAAAATGATTATGTAGTTAAAAATGTTTAAAATGTTTAACTTTTATAACTAAGTTTTGGCGATTTAAAACAAGGCTCCACATAACTACATAAACAGGTTATTCTGTAACCAAAAAATCTCAAAAATATAAAAACACGGTTTTTTTTATAGTTATTTTATGATCAATTTTGAACGAAATTACATATTAAATAACCAAGAACATCGATTTTAGTTATTTTGTTGTAGTTTTATAATATTAATTCAACTTAATTATATGTCTGCCGTATTAATAAGAAGTAATAAATAATAACAATAGGTATAAATATAATATTAACATATCCACACTGACAAGAATCGTTTTGAGTATACATACAATGATATTATATCATTGAATTCAAATTTAATACAATTCATTACACAGTGATCCATTTGTAATCTACTATACAGCAGAGCGACATCCACTTGCCCACCTTTTTTATCTTAAATTCGATAATAATTCAATTTACCAAGGTAGGTATTTATACAATTATATTAACAAGTAACTACATAAAATGGGTTCTTCTGAATAGAAAATTGGGTTGCTGTACTTCTGAAAGCTGATGTAAGAAGGCAACAATACGTCAATATATACTTGCAGATACATGTTGTCTTTGAAATTATTCTAAATACAAAATTACAAATAAAAATTTTAGGTTTAGGTATATTATATATTATAAAACATTTTTAAAATATAATATCATTAAATAATAAGTTATATTTATTACAACTGAGTGTGTGGGTTAGTAGTTACGTAATACACTATAAAGTTTGGAGTTTGTTAAGTCTCAATTTAAAAATGTCTAAAACGCTAATGGGATTGCTAACTAATATCATAATATTACATTTTGCATGTACAGGTTGCGTGGATGGGTTTACCATCTCTAGACGTAGTAATAGCATTTGCTGGTCAAATAACATGTCGCTATATGAATATCAAAGCTAAACCATACAGATCATTAGATAACTGGCCAGTCTATTCACAAGTTTTGGAAGTAATAAAAATGAATGCAAAAGACTTTGTTTTTAAAGAATATGACGGTTCTCATCACTTGCATCTCAATAATCCAGAGTGTTTAGCTTCAGATGTTGCAACTTTCATTCAACAGTCTAACAGAGCATCACTGTGATATTATATTATATCATATTATAACATGTAATTATAAAATAGAACCAATTACTCTTCCTATATTATTCATAATACATCATAATATGTTTAGTAATAATATAATTTATACTTACTATATTTATATTTTTTACTTTATTTATTATAATATTGGTATAGATATTAGGTAATAAACTAACATATATTTTATGTATAACTTATATTTCTACAGCTCTATATTACATATTATACCAAAGGTCTACCTACCTATAGTTGACCTTGCTACCGAATTAAGCGTGCTTGTTAGGGCTCAATCCCTAAACCATCATGGCTTCATGTACCATATCCAACTGTGATGAATCCCCTGATATCCGTCACCGTTATTTAACTGTTTAGCATCCTCTTTCAACAGACTCAATAAAAAAAAAAAACTTTTATGTTAGTTGTAAAGGTGCACCAGCACCACCATTTTTTAAATATCACTTAAATTATGTATATACACCAATACAAGAGTTATGTTATAGCAGTTTTTATGGTTTTAGAAACGTTTATCTGTGAGTTTTGGCTACATCATAGATTATTGTGATGCAAAACATTGATTGAAGAGAATTGAATTAATTAATTAGAAGTGAACATAGAAAGTGAATTTAGGAAAAGTTGAATGAGAAATTAATGGTGATCTGCACCTAAACCTGGATTGGGGATTTCTAATTCCTAGTTTGTTGTATGAATGTGGGGACCATATTATCAGACTAACTAATTGAAAAACTAAGTAACGGTTACTAAAATGTTTTAATATTTTAGATTCAAACTTTTTTTTTTCTGTTTGTCATCAACATTTGGAGTGGTGAAAATATTTTATATTTAAATACTTTTTTTAATTTTAATATTTCGCCTGTACCTAGCGTAAATGATAGTTAAAAGTATATTTTTTAGTGAAGTATTATTTTACAAGCTACCGTCAATCGAGGTGACTTGGAACGATTTTGACATATTTCTTGTTATTCTGAGCTTAAAAAAAATCGCACTGGACTACAAAAAATACATAAATGTTTGCATACGTCTCATGAATAGGATAAGACCTTTTATTTAGTTTTTTGACCAAAACTGAACTTAAAAAAAAGTAAAAAGTACGTGTTCCAAGTCACCTCAATTTTTGGGTGACTTGGAACAGCTATGAAAATTTAAAGTGAAATTCAATTCAAGAACGTTAGAGGTGACTTGGAACAAAATTTTTATTTTAAAAATTAACACAAGAACATGTTAAATAAATATTAAAAAGAAACAGGTTAACTTTACCTTTTTTTAACAGTAAACTAAATATTTAAATAATAAAATATCAATAACATGATAAAAACAAAATAAAAATTCTTTCTAAATAGAAAAACATAACTAAATAGTTCTTCAAAATAAAGACAAATACATTTTAAATATCATCGAGGGCCTGTTAAAGTGTTTCGTCACTGTCATTTATATATGTCCGGCTACCCGGTATACGCTCGTATTTGTTTGGCATTTTTGGTGTTCCAAGTCACCCTCAATTTTCTTCTGTAAAATAAAACTTAAGTTATAAAATTAGAAAAAAATGTTAAAAGACTTTTAACTACAAAAGTCTGCTTTTGAAGTGTCCTTTAATGCATAAAAAATATACAAATCTTTAAATTTGACTTCAATCACCAACATTTGAAGCACTTTTGAGAGCAATAATAAAATCGTTGTTATCATAAGAAATGTTTGGTTATTTTTTTCGGTGGTAATGATAAGACCAACCACATGGTTGATGATAACATTTATTATCACAAATATTGTAAATTTAATTTAAATGCAGGCAGATTTAAATTATATCATTTTGTTTCATAGATAACATGATATGTTTAAAAAAAAACCGGGGTGTTTCATTTCACCTCAAAGTTCCAAGTCACCTCGATTGACGGTATACGATATTATTTCTACATAGATCAAAGTTTTTAATAAAATACAAATTATTCGTTTTTGTATGCATTTAAATTTTAAAATATAATTTGTATATTATTGCTTATTAACAAAATAGTATGTAATTAATGTCTGTTAACGAGGGTGTAGCTCACGTGTAATACAATTTGAGAACGATGCAAAAATACAATCGTTACTGCAGGTTAGTGGATAATATTAATATCAACTCAATACCCCGCACTATCGTAAAACCAGTTTCATGGTCACTCTCGAAAAAAAAGAAAATTATGTGAAGAATAGGTGCATCGTACATACTATAGGTAATACAAGAATAGTTTTTTAATCTATTTTTAAACTAGATTTATTTATTTTTACATTTCTTGAAAGATTTTGTAAATCAAAAACGTCATTAAATTTGCATTGGGTGTGCCGCTTTAAACGCATATTTTTTGTGGCTTTTTTTCAAGCATCGTTTCAGAAAAAAAATGCAAATTCATTTGATTCCGTGTTCTATAATACTACCTAGTATACTACCTAAGACTTGTGGACAATGAATCAACAAATATTATACTATGTTGTTATTCCCAACGTATTACGTAATATTTATACATTTATTGAATATTTAATCGCCAATAAATTGGCCTCAAGTTGACCATGCAGTATTGTTCTAGATAATTGCTTTATTAAATTTTTCGTGCACAATCCAAAATTGAAATATTATTTGTTACTTCCGAATTACACACATAATCAGAACGTTTAATGTATAATGATTTAATCTATATCTAGGTATAATGTATATTAGAGTGTATTAGATCTAAATTAATATTATAATATTCTTTTTGTATACATATATATTGTGTTAACGTTAATTTATATGTAAGTATTTAAATAATTATTTGCATTTTGCACAAGCAACTAGGTAGATAATTTTTATTTTATTTTTTTTTGTTTTTTTACAGGTCAACAGGTTTGTTTTACCATCATTTGACGTTACAAACGAATTTGCAAAACAGATTCGCTGTCGTTACTTAATGATCAAAGCAGTTCCGGGTAGGGTGCGTGATAATTGGTCACTTTTTCAAAGTATATTAGAAACGATAAAACAATCTACAAGCGATTTTAATTACGTAGAAGTTGAAGGGTCTCATCATGTACATTTAAATGACGCTTCAAAAGTTGTTCCACACATCTTACATTTTTTTAAAAATGTTACTTGTTAGTAATTTGTAATTTTAATTATATATTATAGGTACAAGTGAACAAGTATATAAATGCATACACTTAATTATAATATATTATACATTAAATACAATAAACGATCGTGGATGATTACTGAAATATTTATTATTTATTCGCTAGTCGATAACCTTGACAATTATTCGCTGTTTTCTGTGCAGTCTTTGTTTAGCTCTAGCCTCTAGGTACCTACATATTATTACCATTGATTAATTATTATAGATAGTATAGGTATAGTACCTACTATCTATAAATTAAAATCAATGATTTAAAAAATTTCTCATAATATTATGTTGTTTATCTAACAGCAGATACCTGTGTACGGTTAAATATAACTCTAATCTCCTGTCTCTATAACTTATTATTTATTAATATATTGTGAAAAATATATATTATAGGTACTTACTATAAGTTGTAAAATACTGTAAAAAAAAAATAGTCTGTCTTCGGAGGTGACAATTATTCTAAGGTCACATCATAGGATTATGTAGGTACCTACTACCTAATTACATATTATAATATTATATTATATTATATAGATACAAGACGAGATTTTTTTTAAATTGTTCACATCGCCATCAGCATAGATACCTAAAGGTTAATGGATATTGAATTTGGTATTTTAGTTCTTACTTCATTCAATAGGTTCCAATTTGGGTCAATATCGTCTGAATAATAGATATTTATTTCTAATGCACTTGTATTAAAAATAAAATTTCGAACAAAGAAGCTACGCAATAAAGTATTTAATAATATTACCTTCTATAGGACAGATTATAATGGAAATCGATTGTACCTATATTATCATGTTACCTATTATATAGATGGCGTTTTTGATAGTCATCTTGTCATTATACCACTTTCACGTATTTGAAATTATAAATTAGATAAAAGTAAATACTTACTTGCAGTAAGAAAATCGAAATGCAACCACTTCTCAAAGACCTGCACGTTCGTTTTAACATTGCTTACACCTGCCTGCTATAAACATTTATAATATTTGTATTAGACTAAATTTACCTTCTTTTATTGTTTGAATAACTTAAAAATATATTATTTATGTCAATGTCGAAATCATAAATTCCTCGTTATGGTAGGCATAGACGAAAATAGAGTTTGGGATTTGGGGAGGGGGGGCTCGGCCCCTAAAACCTCCCCCATTTTTGCGCCTATGATGGTAGGTATTATATTACCACTTATTATCTATAACCATGATTATATGTATGTTTATGTAATATTATGTACCTATCCATGTCTAGAACTAAACCAGACAGATCTATATAGAGTCACTACATGAAACTTTTTGAGCTTTCTGGCTTTTCCACCGAAAAAAATTCACAAAAAAAATATAACTTGGTAAATATATTTTTAATTATAAAAAGTACTAAATAAAGTATCTTATAAGAGTCATAACCTATGTAGACTGTAGAGTGTAAAATTGTTTTTTTGGTTACCTACTTGGTTAATGATAATTATTTAAATTTTTCTTCAACTCCTTGCAGACATACATTTTAAGAGGATGTTACCCATAGGTACATTTGTTGTCTCCGTCTTACACACGCACGATCATAGGTGAAAATTGGAGGGGGGCCTGGGGGTGCTAAGCCCCCGCCCTCCAACAAAAAAAAAACCTAGGACATACAATTTTAATATGCTAAATTGCAATGGTCTGCTTGCCTTTAATATATTCAGCCCCCCCCCCCCAAGTCATGCGGCATGATATAGCAAATTGTCGTTCACTAGTTTCAATAGCGTGCAGTTAGTTTTGATACTAGAGTGAATTAACCTATTATAAAACTTTTAGGTCAGAACATTATCTGTGCTTAAGCGTTGCCGATTTTTCGAAATGTTCATTTTCAAGCAAGATAGGTATGTGAAATATCAAAAATCAAAAATGCTCATATATCTCTTGAAAATTAAAATATCGAATAAAAGCCAACGGCTAAAGCACAGATAATGTTATTATCGAAAAAATGTATAATAGGTCAAATCACTCTAATATCAAAATTAACAGCACACTATTGAAATTAGTGAACGAAAAGTTGCCATGTCGTACGTGTGTAAGACGGAGACAACAATTACAACTTAATACATATTTTACATAATATTATAGACTATAGCTTATTTTTAGAAGTAATACCTTTATTTGCACTCCGAGGCTTCGGAAATTGTTTATATAACAATTCGCCCTTCCTACTTATAAGTTATAAATTATAATATTTAAGGCGCGCGAGCTTATATATAGGATGTACCTACCAATATAGTGTTTTAGAATGTAAAATACCTGTAATTTTAAATAGTGTTTTTACTATACCGCAATATCTTTGGTTTTACGCATCGTGAGCCAGATCACTCGAATACTCGATAGTCAATTAGATATCATATTTTAATTTTTATAAATACATTGCCAATACAATATATTAGGCATAAAGGCGTCACATTGTTATAATACATTGTATTTTAGCATCGATTGTTCAATATCTGACCTTGTTAAACTATAGTTACCGCAACACGTAGCGTCTTTTTAAACTACCTTCTTTAATAACCTATAGGTACAGTCTAAACACAAAAGTGATTTCGATTTTTTTTTTTTTAAATATTGTCACATCATATTCACTTAATATACACTACAGATCACTTCAGTTACCATGAGTGTGTCCATTAGCTGTTCTATTCGTATTTTAATCATACTTGCATCTCCACTATTATCTGACTGCAGTTTGCTACGAGGACCTAATAAGAAGCAACCTCATATCATTCTCATCGTTGCTGACGATTTGGTGAGTTCTCCTGGAAATTGGTAATTTGTACATATAAAAATTAATGTCGGTAATTAACGTACACCCACGACCCACACAACAAAAAGCTCATTTCCATGTCTGATAAAATCTATTTTAGGTACCTATATAGTTGACAATGGAGTATTCAGGTATTCTAGATTACATTAGGGGCACGGGAGTATTGAATAATTTAATCAGATAATTTAATAAATATAAAAATATAACATGATTTATAGGTACATTTTTTTTTATAATGATTTCTGCCTTCTGGCAATGTAGATAAGTATATAATTCACTGTACTCAAGTCTGTACTGCACCACAATACAAACGTATAAAGTGTAACTAACTTTAGTAATAACTAATAAGTATTTACTAATAATATCTACTAATAAGTAGTTACTCAAGTATTTACATATGGCTACATCCTACATATATTTGTACCTAAACTGAGAAATTGTAAACGTGTGACGTGTGTATATAATATTATACTTTTACATATTAATAGGGATGGAACGACGTTGGTTTTCATGGATCAATTCAAATTCCCACTCCAAATATTGATGCTTTGGCTTATAATGGTGTAATATTAAATCGTCATTATGTTCAACCAACTTGCACTCCGTCTAGAGCTGCTTTGCTTACCGGAAAATATCCGATTCGATATGGTAATTGGTAATATACTAATATGAAGTATCTATATTGCGTATGCCATATAGATATATAAATATAATGTTCCAATAGTCAGTAGTCAGTACTATATAAATACTAAATAATTAATTTTATTATTTGTTTAATGCAATATTATTTTATGATATGAAATTTCAAATGTGTCTTTTATTTTTTTAATTGTTAACCTATGCCTATCCAATACGTTAAATTATATTATTTTACACTCTTATTGTTTTATTTGTAAATTAATGAAATACGTAAGTTGATTGTTTTAACTAAAATTGGGTCAAAATTAATTTTTCTTGAACTCGTATTCGAATTAAAACTTAATTTCATTCTCGAAATTGAATCATATTTAAGATTTATTTCTAATTTAAAAATGTAACCATAAGTGATAAGTCATAACAAATTAACATATTTTAAAGCATAATAGTGTAGGTAAAACCGTTCTCACACTTAACAAAAAATTAAAATTAATTAATCATATACTCGAATATTCTGAACTTAATTATACTGGGATGTATTTGAAGTTTGAACCGTATTTGAATTCAAACTAAAATATGTTTCTCACATTTATTTAAGTTTGGGGTTCGAAGATATTGAAAACCCACCTCTAGTTGTAACATACATTTCATTGTCTCACTTTCACACTGTGTTTTACATTTAAGGCCTTCAAGGATTCCCCATCATTGCTGGTGTACCCTTGGCACTTCCGTCAAATGAAAAAATTTTACCACAAGTAAATATAATAACCATAATATGACGGATTATTATTCTTATTGCATTAGTCGTTTTGCACTTTTGCATAATTACAGCTGGTTAATTGTTGACATTTTAGTATTTGAAAGATTTGGGTTATTCAACTCATTTGGTGGGGAAATGGCACTTGGGCGCAAACAAAAACCAGCATACCCCTATAAAAAGGGGATTCGACAGTCATTTTGGCTATTGGAATGGATTCATAAGTTACAGAAACAGTACGCATTCTACGGTGATAATAACAGTTTAAAAATATTTAGTATTAATAAATAGTAATTTGGTTTTGAACAATAAATTATCATACAGGGATTAATGATTGGGAAAGATGCCAGACGTGGGTTCGAAAGAGCAGGAGACGAGATGGTTGATCGATATGCAACAGACATTTTCACCGACGAAGCTAATAAAGTTATAAAGTTATGTAAAAATAATGGTAAACCAATGTTTTTAATGGTAAGTCATTTAGCCGTTCATACCGGAGTACCTGGACCAAACATCTTGGAAGTTTCAAATAAAACACATAATGATATCAGATTTAATTATATTGAAAACAAAGAAAGAAGACTTTATGCAGGTAAGAAGAAATATACCTAATTCTTTGAAATCTTAATGTTACAAAATTAAAATTGTACCGTTTAAAGTATTTACAATATATATTACAACTGTCAATAATTGAGATTAGTGTTATAGTGTGTTACACTGTTATACATACATGTTTCACTTTCAAACATTGAAACATGTATATTTAAGACCGATGGATAATGTTTGACCAATGTAAATTGTAATACACAATCGATGAAGAAAACTTGTTGTAAGTTATTAAGTAGGTAACAATAGGTAGGTTATAGACTATAGCAGTGGCGTAGCCAGGATTATGAAATGGGGGGTGTTTAAGTATAGATTAAAACCAAGTTTTTACAGTTTTCGTATATAAATAAATTTAGGGTTCGGGACTTGACTTGTTGCACTAAATATTATCGAAATATGATGCAGTCAAAGTTGTCAAAATATTCTTAAATATATATACTACATATTCTTTAATATAAACATACTACCATTTTGGTAATAAAAAACTAAAAAATAAGTAGGTAGGTACCTATATAAATAATTTATACACGGGCTTACTAATTTTAATATAGGTAGGTACCTACCTATATTGATTAATGTGATGGACGGAGTACACTATTGCATGTTTTGTACATTTTTAAACTATTGTGAAATAAATCAACTTGATTTTTAAAAATACTGGAATAAAATACTAGGTTAATAAATATGTAATAAAGAATAACGTGATATGCGAACACCGTAATAAACGAACACGTATATCTACTGATTTTCATTTCTTCGTACAATCTAGAATGTAGATGTAAATTATAGTTTTAACACAGTCTTGTTATAAAGAGACTTATAAAATCTTACATACCATAAGTATACGAAAATATAGCAAACCGTATAGCCAAGCTCCACCAACAACTTTAACAGCCCTCCCAATCATTTACTAAATTTTTTTAATTCAATTTTATAATAGTATGGTTTTAGGCTTCGGCCTCCCAAAATATCAAAATTAGAGCCTATTGTACCTCACCAAACATAAAGATATTTTTCAATGTTATCCAAATATGATTTTTCCAGACAATTGTATGTATATCTGCATTTAAGTTAGAAAAATGCAAAATATGAATAAATATGCGAAAAATCGCTCAAATGAACACTTTTAGTAAAATATGAAAATTCAAACTTTGTTTGATTAGACATTTAAAAAATTTCATAAGACAAATTTATAACTTATCTAAAATAATGCGAGGAGTCCCAAACCCTATAAACAATATTTTTATTAGGGAGGAAAATGGCAATGGGGGGTGTTTAAACACCCAAAACCCCCCCCCTGGCTACGCCACTGGACTATAGTGTTATACAATATTTCAAATTAGAAGATGAAAATTTTGTTTTTAGTATAGCTTGCAAGGTTAATGTCTAAAATTAAAAATATGTTTTGTATTAAATTTAAGTCTGTAAAAATTTCAAAAATTTCAAATTATATCTAAATATTATTATAGAATGTGATATATGCGTATGTATACTAACTACCAACTGGCAACTACTTACCTGGATAGGTATACTTATTATATGTATAATATTTAATAGTTCTTGGGCGTAATTTGTATGCTTAATGTTTGCTTAATATTGGGCGTAATTTATTACATAATCTCTAATCTCAATTTTGATTTATTTGACTTAGGAATTTTAATAAATTTCAAATAGTTATCATTGAGATGACTTAAATTATATTAATTAAATATATTTAGATTTTTATGGCAAAGTTCCCAAAAATGCTTAAAATGTATAACAACCTGATTACCCCGATAAAGGCCAGCATTTAAAAATAATACACCAATTGTCAAAGTGATACTGATACATTAGTATCACTTTGACAATTCTTGATGCTAACCAAAGTCTAAGACTTTTTTTTTCTATACAAAAATTTGTTTGACCGATTACGTTTAGATTTATTATTTTATCTAAGTTATTAATTATAATTTAGGCTTAATACTAAATATTTATTTAATAATATACAATTCCAGGAATGTTGACTTCATTGGATGAATCTGTTGGTAGTGTCATTGAATCATTAGATAATAACGGAATGTTAGAAGATTCAATTGTGTTGTTTATATCTGATAACGGTGCACCGGCTGACGATCCTATATGGGGTTATGGGAATTCAGGATCTAATTGGCCATTAAGAGGAGTATGTTTAATTATGTCAATACGTCATACTTGTAATTAAAACAAATTTACATAATATTATATCTTTTACAAATGCATTTGGTGTAAATAAGAATATATTAAGTCGTTATAATATGACAGACGGCAATATTTTGATTTTAAATGCATATTACGGCTGTCGGTGATATGTAGTTAATTATTAATGATTGAAAATCGTAAAAAAAGAGGGAAAGTAGGTAACCGTTGTGGCTTTGCTGTACAGTACCTAGGTGCCCAGTGTACTTTGTCTTTGAGGAAGTCACCATGATAGTATAATGTCATTTTAATTCAATCATAAATCATTGCATATGATTATACGACAATAACGATTCTTAGCGAAGAAGTGGTCTGTCAGCCAATATTACTATAAGTACCTATATTTTATAATATATTTATAATGCCATTAAATTAATTTATTTTTCTATAGTAAGTACTGTAGGTTGAGTTATTTAACTGCAAATACATTTACAATGTTTGTAAATTTGAAAAAAATTGTAAAAATTTAAACTTCAAATGCTTAAAAAAATGTGTGTCAATTGTATCTTTAATTTTTTTTTAATGGCTTTAATGGTTTTATTTTCAAGCTTTTTGACCGAGTGAAATTATTTTTATCAATATTTATTAAATAAAAATCAAAAATGTCAAATTTCTATACATAACTTAAAAAGAGTCAAACTATTTTTAAATTAAACCTAGTACCACACACAAATTACAAAGCACCAACTAGATACAATTTACTTCTAAAAACCACCCAAAATGTTAGAAATCAAAGAGTTAGCTTCAAAAGGTAATGTCAGACACAAAAAAGGTGGGCAAGTGGGACCGTTCTGCTGCACAATTTAGGTGTCGAGACTCGAGTGAGTCATTGTAATGGGTGTGTAAAATTTGAATTCAATGAAATATCTTTGTATACCTACGAAAAACGAATCTGAACGGAGACGTCCCTGCAGGCATGACAAAATATAGAGGTATGTCAGCAACAATACGTATTTGAATTTCGTTTGCCCTTCCCCACTTTTTCGTAAAAGTTTGGTTCTCCGAACTTCATGCTATGGTATATGCAACCAATGAGAGGCGGATAACGTAACACACTGTAAAAAATGGCGGATATGCGCATCACAATGTTGCTGACATACCTATATATACTTTGTCATGCCTGCAGATACCTATTTCAAGTATATTTTTAGATTCTGAGTGGAACGATGAATGTATTGATTTTACAATGATGTGTGTTTTTTTTATTTTATTCATTTTTGTGTCTGTCATCACCGTTCGGAACAGTAACACTGCTTTAATTTTCTTCAACTGGTTAGGTTAGGTTATAGGTATCTTGTTCGATGGAAAAGTGAATCTAGTGGAACAGATTTTGAGTAAAAATTACCGTTTTTCTACTATTGAGATTTTAAAATTTTGATCACCCGAAAGTATACCAACTAAATTTACTTTCCCATCGAGCAAGATACTGTTGAAAAAAATCGAAGCAGTGTTACTGTCCCAAACGGTGATGAAAGACACAAAAAAAAAAATAAATTTAAAAAAAACACACATCGTAGTAAAATCAATACATTCATCGCTCCGCTCAGAATCTAAACCACACATATTATCATTGTAAAATTAATAATACATCTACATCCATCGCTCCGCTCAAAGTCTAATATAAATCATTTTTACTAGTGTTTGGAGTGAAAAAAATCTTATATAATAATATAACTAACCAAAAACGGATTTAGGAAAAAGGAGCAGTTCTTGACGGCGGAGTGCGTGGAGTGGCTGCAATATGGAGTCCGTGGTTGAAAAAGAAACACAGAATTTTTGAAAATTTGTTTCATATAACTGATTGGTTGCCTACCCTATACACTGCTGCAGGTGAATATAATATAATACACCGTTTTAATATTCTGAAAAATTTGAATCGATAGATCAGCAAATTATTTAATATAATATCTATACTCTTCGTAATATTATTATACCTACTTCAGCAATAAACATTAAACTTTTAATATATCGTAGGCGAAGGCGTAGGTAATACATCGTAAGCATGGTTATCTACTAGTTATCTGTTAGAATGGATTGCATGTGAATAAGAATAACTAACAACTTATAACTTATTAGTTATTAAGTACTTAAGTATTTAAGACTTTTTTTGGGAGACGAAAATATACGAAATCTACATAGAAATTTATTATGATGAGCACTCACCGTTGAATTCGTATATACCTAGTTAATAATAAAATTAAAAAGCTTAGCATTAAAATAAATGTATAATATTTTAGGTGGTGATTTTGAAGACTTAGGTAAAATTGATGGCGTTGATCAATGGGAGAGTTTAACTGAAACTTCAAAACGTACGAGATCGATGGTTTTAATCAATATCGATGAAACAAGTGGAGAGGAAGCATTGATTTTCAACCATTGGAAGATCGTAAAAAGTAAAGTGTTTTTGTTTTTGTAATTATACTTACCTATTATGACCAACCAATAAATGGGCTATAAATAACTAGGTAACCTATAAATATAAAGGTTTATGTCCTTGACGTCCGATATTGATATACTTTGTGACGATATACTATATAACTACATTCAGTTCTCGAATTGGGAAAAATTAAATATAGGAGCTCAATCCAACGATTTAAAAACTGCATTCCATGGGCGTAATTACTCAACACAGACCCGCGGGGGGCTTTGCCCCCACACCCCCCAAGCTCCTATCTTGCATAAATGTTGAATACCACTATATTCAGGAACACATTTTGAATTCTAAATATATAGGTATAATATATTTTGAAAGCAATATTTACATCTTACATTGTTACAGTAGGTAAAAAAATTAATAATAATCTACCTGCTTATTCAATATAGTACTTTATAGATAACGAAATTAATGATTTTTGTTTTTGATTCAAAAGAGACCACATATTTTGAAGTATAAAAATTTAAAAATTCAAAAACACCGACAAATAACTTAAACTGATAAGTGATAACATTTCATTTGGAACACGGTTTAAGATATTACTATCACCACACCAGTATCTGTGCCTTAGATAATATACTTGTATATGAACTATGAACTGTGAACTACTGACCACAGATACCCACGTATATAGGCCACGGTCTTAGAATATAAACACATTAAACTAATGTCAAAAATAATTTTCATATGAAATAGTAAAACTCGTTATATAATTGAAATTCACATTTAAATAAAAAAATTTTTCGGACATTAGTTTGTACCGCCCCCCTGTCCAAGTAAAAAAAAAATAGAAGTTGTACGAAAAAAAAATAATAGGGGAGCTCCTTCCCCCTGCGCAGTGCGCATCCCTTCAATTCGAGCACTGACTACATTGTAAATTATAATTTAAGTACTTACACCTATACGGCTATTTAATATTTATACATGCGGTATGCACTTGCTATAAACCACCGAGAACAATCTCCCCCTCCGACAAGACCACAAGTCGAACTGCCATAATACCTGCGAATATAGTATAGATTTAAGATTTTACACTAAACAGCATTTCATATTCTAATCCAATTGTTTAAGGTAACCGCACGAGTGACATCGCCTATTATCTGAAATACAGCGGTGAACCCGGGAACGTTGGACCGGACTACAATATGACCGCTGTCGCAGAAAGTCTGGCTGGTTCGCGTTTATCGAAAATAAACTGTTTGGTGTCCAAAGCAGACTGCATGGACACGTTGACCACGTACGATCTGTTTTATAACGTTCGTTCCCAGGCCAAGATCGACGGCAAGTGTAGCGAACGAATCTCTGACCCCGACCCCAACGGGCGCTACGAATGTTTTGACAGCCCCTGCTTGTTCGATATACAGCGGGACCCTTGCGAATATCAAAACATAGCAAGCCGAAACCCGGAAGCTCTCAACATGACGGTAGACATGTTGGCACAATTCAAAAATGAAATGACGATGCAAAACTACCCGGAACCCGATCCCAAGTCAGACCCTCGATTTTTCGACGGGTATTGGGACACGTGGTTGGAAAAATCTGGCGGTTCGATTCCATTCAATGGAAAACTACACACGCGCGTTATTATAATCTTGACGGCGTGTTTTTATTATTATTTTATGATTTGACGACATTGTGTCTAACATGCCAATATATTAATATACCTACAGTATATAAGTGTATACCTACCTAGTACCTAGTACCTATCCATTAAACTATATCTATGATTTTCTATAACATAATCATTAAACATAATATATTTATGTACTATAGGTACTATAGTCTATTCAGAATAAGATCATACCAGGTTTATGTAGCAAAATCGGTTTTGGGGCTATATTATTTTATAATACTACGATATAGAAACATATACCTATACCCAGTTATATTATTTCGATGCTGCTCACGTTCTCATCTATAATAAAACAGTTATACCTACGTAGGCACCTATTTGTTATAATTTTTTATTTTCTTTAAGGTGGGCTTTTCTTAATGCACAAAGCATAATATGCTCGATAATATGAATATTTTATTGAATTCCCTTTCATCCATCCTTAAAATGTATTTGTCTATGCCCTATGGAATATGGATTACCACCTACGAATGTCAGATATACCTAGCACAGTCGCACCGATCATATGAAAATATGAAAATAATATAATCTGTGATTAAAATTTAATATGTCCAGTAGAATATAATATAATATTATGTGATGCTCTGGTGTATCTATTATCTATGGGGGTGTGGGGGGGATACCAAATTTTGTACATAATATAATACATGAAGTAGTATAAAATATGAATAATAATTATTAATTAATAATAATAAAAATAGTAGAGGATTTCCGTCCCCCTGCGCACTTCCCGTCACCGATTTGAGCACTGACAATGATATTATATCATTGAATTCAAATTTCAAGTTTAATACAATCCATTATACATTGACCCACTTGTAACCTACAGTAGCTGTACATCAGAGCGACATCCACTTACCGGCTTTTTATGTATTATAACATAAAACTGTTATAAAATATAGTATTGTACAAATAGTATGTATCAATATAGATATGACCAAATTAATTATTTTATAAAAAACCATTTTCACTTGTTTCATAGGAAGTATAATTTTTTATGTCTTCGCTGGCCATCATAATGTATAATATCATATCTAGAACAATGTTTTTACTTTATCCGAAACAATATTTGGAAAATGTCTTATCGGAATCAACACAATATTCTTTGCATGACAAAAATCGTCATGATTCTTTGGCACATTTATGAAACTGTTTCAATCGGTTGTTCAATAGGCATTAGTTCATTACGTAGGTATAAAACTGCAGGGTTCGGAGTAAGATTTGTTTGTATGAGACTTGGCGTTTTCACATCAGGAAATCTCAGCGCCGTAGACATTGCAGTAATACATTTTCGGGTGATGGATATTTGGCTTCACCGGAGAAAACCGAGCACGTAGACCGCACTTACGAGATTGCACGTACGTAGTAGGTTATAAATAATAACTAAACAAAATAAAAAATACGTAGAAAATCAAAAAAAATTTGGTGTGAGCCGTGAGGTGGGTTTGCGGTTAGTCGGACGTTAAGACTGCTCTCAGGTGCGTGGCTGGTGACCTAGTGCACAGTGAAGCAATTAAAGTGGAGGACATGGTAGTCCCTCGCAGTGCTCGAATTGGGAAAAATTAAATAGGGGAGCTCAATCCAACGATTTAAAAACTGAGTTCCAAAAGCGCAATTACTCAACACAGACCGGTTTGGGGCTTTGCCCCCACACCCCCCAAGCTCCTACCTTGCATATATTTCGAATACCACAAGTCAGGAACACATTTGAATTCCAAATAGGTATAATATATTTTGATAGCAATATCTACATCTTACATTGTTACAGTAGAAAAAAAATAATAATAATCAACCTGTTTATTCAATATACTAAATAGATAACAAAACAACAAAACTAATAATTATTGTTTTCGATTCAAAAGGACCACATATTTTGATAAGTATAAAAAAATTCAAAAATTCAAAAACACCGATAAATGATAACCATAACTGAAACTGATAACATTTCATTTGGAACACAATTTAAGATAGCACTAGCCGCCACACCAATATCTGTGCCTTAGATAATATTACCAGGCATTGCCAGGCAAAGAAGAAAAAATGGCGGAAAAAATCCCAATCAAGATTTTTTTTTTTAAAGTTTTAATAAAATATGCAATATAACATACTAAAAGTCCCCATTGATAATACTGGAGCTTTTTTTTTATAAGCTCATGAAAGTTTAAAAATATGAGCTTTTTTGAATATCTCAAAAAATATTAGAAATATCAAAAAAAGTTTCAAATAAAAGTTATTTATTAGACAATTTAAAAAAAAAAAGAGTTGTCTTATATTTTTTCATTTAAACAAATATTTGGCAAGATATATTTGTATAAAAATTGACAGTTAAAAAATTATTAATAAATTTCTCTCTCTTTCCGTGTTAAATAGTTTTTACACTGTATTAAATATATTTGTGTGATCTACAAACTATAAACATGAACGATTGAATTATAATAACATTGTAAAAATTGTTTTTTTTAAAACTTATGATAGCATACAAATAATTTGTATAATAAAAAAAAAATTATATGTGGACATTGCAAAGGCCAATGGTGCACTAATTCTATAGAAATAGAGGTTGATTGTACAGAAGATTGTACACTTTCAAAATTATTAGATGGGATCGCAGAAGAAGAAGAAGAATACGAAACATAAAAGTATGATCTGCCTGCACTATATGTAGTGTAAAAGTGTAATTAACTTTAAATTATATTAATTTTTTTTTTATTATACAAATTATTTGTATGCTAGCTATCATAAGTTTAAAAAAAAAACAATTTTTACTATGTTATTATAATTCAATCGTTCATGTTTATAGTTTGTAGAACACTAGAACACACAAATATAAGTGTAAAAACTATTTAACACGGAATGAGAGAGAAATTTATTAATAATTTTTTAACTGTCAATTTTTATACAAATATATCTTGCCAAATATTTGTTTAAATGAAAAAATATGAGACAACTTTTTTTTTGTAAATTGTCTAATAAATAACTTTTATTTGAAACTTTTTTTGATATTTGTAATATTTTTTGAGATATTCAAAAAAGCTCATATTTTTAAACTTTCATGAGCTTATAAAAAAAAGCTCCAGTCCTATCAATGGGGACTTTTAGAACAACTAGATAGCCGTCTAGTCTTTATACTACAGTTACAATACAATAGTGTTATACAATATACATACGTGATAATCTATATACCTTGGTCAGTATCGACGTCGGTAATTGGTGGACCCACCCTTAATGCTTTTCGCCACCACATGTGGACCACCCCATGGGAGGGGTTGAACGTTATTCCCTCTGTGAATTTGAAATCCCCCCCACCCCTCAGAACTGGGATATATCCGCCACTGACGAAGTAGGTAAGGTTTTACCTACATCGTGCTACATACCAATAACGCTCTACATGAATATTAATTTAGTTTTTTGTTAATATTGATTCATTGAATACGAACTACTGTGAGTATTTTGATAATTTTAAATGTTTTTACCATTGACAAATACCGAGATGATAATATTACATTATACGACACCCACCAACTAAAAAAATTATCAAGATATATTTTTTGCAATTTGTATCTCTACCATTCAAATTATAGATACCTGCCTATACTTCAATAAATACAATGGCCTTTAACTTTTAAGATATTATTTCAATAATAAAGAATTACAGCTCCACCGAATTGTAAAAAAATCAATAAAACGATTGTTAAAAATAAAAATAATTTGGACTTAATTTACATGTACAATATTATACATTTATAATTGCCATAATAGACCTATTTAATAGTTATAATGTTATAATAGTCTACGATTCATGCCATTCGTGGTACTAATTAGATGACTATAATTTATAATAGTATAGTAGTTGACACTTTGACAGTTGTACTAGGTCGGGTCAACAACACTTTTGCTTTTACCTTATCATCCGATATTAAATAATGCCAATTGTGATACTAGCAAGTAACAACTAATTTTCAATCCTTATATGGCTATTGAGTATTGACTTAAATATAAAATAATAGCGATACAGAATACCGTCTGCCTACTTATTTAATAGATTTTAATTAGGTTGGGTTTATATTATTCATTGTAATGATGTTAAATTCAATTTATAGTCAATTACAGACTACAGTAATCATGTTCTAAGTATAATCGTGTATTTACTAAATCCAAAAACCATGGTAAGTTGAAAAATCAATATCATTAGACTCATTGATTTCGTTTTTAGTATACCTACCTATTGTATTTTATTATTTGAAAGGTGTACAGCGCTGGAGAGATAGAAAACGTCCGCGTTGCAGTACGTTTGCGACCTTTAAGCAAAAAAGAGAAATCCTCAGGTTGTGTACCCGTGGTGGTGGCCGATCCCGAGAATGCAGCTATTTTTGTGCAAAATCCAAACCCATCACATGTTGGTCCTCCAAAGACTTTCATGTTCGATTTGGTTTTTGACTCTGATTCGAAACAAGTGAGTTGATTCTTGGTTAATAATTTTTAATCGGTTATCATTTAACGAGTGAAATCCAATAGTTGGATGTGTATAATGAAGTGGCACGACCAATTGTCGACAAAGTTTTCGATGGCTTCAACGGAACAATATTTGCTTATGGACAGACTGGGACAGGCAAAACATTTACAATGGAAGGATCTCATATATCTCCTGAGCTGAACGGAATAATTCCTAATTCATTTGCCCATATATTTGGTCACATTGCTAAAGCGAAGGAAGATGTAAAGTAAGCAGGTTTTGTTAGTTATACTGTATAGAATGATATTTAAATAGTTGGCACAAGTGGACAGATGTTCCTCTATAGATCTCAAAAAAAATAATAATAGTGCAAATAAAACGATTGGTAAATTATATATCATTACGATTGTTTTAGACATTTACCTGTCTAATTTTATTCTTAACATAAACCATACATCTGTGTATTATTTTATTTTGTTTTTATTAGGTTTTTGGTTAGTGTTTCTTACTTTGAAATTTACAATGAAGGCGTCTACGACTTGTTGAGTAAACATGTGTCTACTGAGTTGGAAGTGAAAGAGAGACCAGATGTTGGTGTGTACGTGAAGGATTTGTCAACATATGTGGTAAATAATGCAGATGATATGCATCAACTGTTGATGACTGGAAACAAAAATCGCAAGTACTTAAAATAATGAATATAGGACAACTAATTTGGTGTTTAATTTTTAGGCGCCACTGCTGCAACAGCTATGAATTCTGAAAGTTCCCGGTCACATGCTATATTTTCAATTACCATAGAAACTAGTCGACCTGACGTCACCGGCGAGTACCATGTAAAAGTTGGCAGACTTCGATTGGTTGACTTGGCAGTAAGTTTCAATGTTAGTTGCTCTTGTCATTGACCTACCATTAAGGCGCACACGTTTTATCATGAAGGGTTCCGAAAGGCAATCAAAAACAGGTGCTCTTGGTATAAGATTTAAAGAGGCAACAAAAATTAATTTATCCTTATCAACTCTGGGAAATGTAATTTCTGCGTTGGTTGATGGCAAGTCTACTCACATTCCATATCGCAACTCAAAACTCACACGGATATTACAAGATTCTTTGGGAGGAAACTCGAAAACCGTTATGGTAAATTAATAACTTATTTTACAGCCATAATTTGGTGTATTTTTTTTTATATTATATACCTACGTTTCTAATTTTTTTTTTTATTTCATCAATTAAAATACAAAGATACAATTATAATTTTCAATATTTTTGACTAATTAACCTCTATAAACAAAGCTTGTGATGAATGATGATAAATGTATTATTATGTTATTTATTAAATTTGTTTAGTGTGCTACTGTGGGACCAGCAGGTTTCAACTATGATGAAACTATTAGCACTTTACGATATGCCAACCGAGCCAAGAATATTCAAAATACATCCAAAGCTAATGAAGATCCTAAGGAAGCATTGCTCAGACAATTTCAAATGGAAATTGAAGCTTTGAAAAAGCAAATAGATGATAGTAGTAAGGGTCTTAGTGAAGCAGACGATGATGGTGAGGAGGAAGGAGAAGAAGAAGGGCTGGTTGTCGGAGCCTCTGAAGAGGTAGCTAACGCAGTGCAGAGCAAACGTGAAGAATTGGATGCAGCACGCCAAGAAATGATTAGGTTAAAGGAAAAACTAGAGAATATGGAGAAAAAAATAATTGTGGGTGGTGAGAATCTATTAGAGAAGTCTGTGGCACAAGAGAAGTTGTTAGAGGATTCAGCAAAAGAGCTATTAGATAGAAAATCTAGACAGATGAATTTAAACATGCGTTTACAAGAAGTGCAAGCTGAAAAGATGGACACTGAAGATAAATACAGTGGTCTGCAAGAGAGATCAGGAGCATTAAGTAAGAAATTGAAAAAATTATCAGCAGCTATTTTAGCTGTAAAAGAAGATCTAAAAGACACTGAAGACGAGAGCAAAAGAGAAATAGTGGAATTAAAACAGATTCTAAAACAGACTTCTAAGGAGTTAAAGATGCAAGAAGTCATTATTGAGCATTTTGTCCCCGATGATTACTTGGTAAGCTAAGAATTAAATTATTTTTATCAAAAATGTTGTTATTGCATTTAATAATTATGATCATTGATCAATCAAAGTACTTCAAGAACTTCCGTTTTCCCCAAAAATAAATTTTGTTTTTAATGGGATGTCATACCAAAATGTGTTGTTTACATCTTACTTACACATTACATAACAAAATTTACTTTTATCAGTTTCAATTTTGAGTTGTTTGCTTAAATATTAGAGTGAATTGACCTATTATACAATTTAAAGGTAAGTATTATCTGTGTCCACTTATTGGAATTTTACAATATTAAAATTTTTAATCGTGTTATGAATATTTTTAAATATTAATACTTATTCACTTATAATTTAAAATATTGTGTTTGAAAATAGTGTCAATTTCCATTAATATTAAAGTTAATCACACAAAATTGGAACTGCTGAATGTATATTTTGGTATATTAGGTATAGACGGATACAAGATAAGGATGTTTCAATTCCATTATTTGCATTTTTCTTTTATTAACTACAAATTCCTCAAATGCCAAGAACTATCTGACTTAATTTTTCAATCTATAGTTATTAGCACCTATGTCTCCATAAATATTTTTACTCCATAAGTAATCAATGAAAAGCAATTTTGTTAAAACTATACTCGATGAAATTTCCTCTAATTGTTTTCAGTCACTTATCTATACTCTGTTCAATGAGAGAACGCATAGATTCTGCGCATCCCCTCGCATCACACTGCTATCAAAACCGGTTTTCCTATGGCAGGGTGTTGTGTGGGGGAACGAGTTTTGGTGGTTGCACCGTGCGTTCTCTTGTCAAACAGAGTATAGATTATGTTATTTATGCCATTAAAAGGTGTTGCATCACATATGTACCTATGTTTTACTTATATTAGGAATTTTATTTATGCCATTCAAGGGTGTTGCATCACATATGTACCTATAATGTTTTACTTATCTCAGGAACTTATAAAAAAGAATTCATTTTGGAACGAAGAAATTGGAGAATGGGAACTAAGATGTGTAGCATATACTGGGAATAACATGGCAAAAGAGTTGCCCAATGATGAAGAAATTACGTTTGAGGTATGTTGTTACTATAATAACTTACTATTTTATTTAGATTTTAGTATTACACTATTACTATTTTCAAAAAATTACATGTCTAAAACTTTTTATTAAATTTTGAACTAGAAAAAGTATGTAAAAATAATTCTTTTATAAATTACTTGGAATGTTATATGCATTTTCTTGAGATAATTTGAATATTTGAATAGGGATGAACTAAGTTCAAGTACAATTACATTTTTTAATCAGGGAAAAACATGGCAACTTTTTTAAGTTAATTATAATTGGCAAATTTCTATTTTAAGAATAAAAATGTTAATACTAATCAACATTTGAATATTTGACCTATTTTTACTAATAATATAACATTAATAGCGGTTCTGATTCAAGAGCACTAATCAGGATAAATAATTAAACTGTTTCTATTAAAAAAATAAAATTGTGTTATAGACCCGCAGACCAGATTTTTCACACGTGTATCTGACTTACAAAGACAAAGCGCAGGCCAGATCAAAGTCGAGAACTGGAAAACGAACTTGATTTCTTCTTCTTGATAATGTATCTTTTTGTATTTATTTTTAGTTATAACAAAACCCTAGTCATATTTTTTCTTTTTATAAGAATATATCACAACATACATACTAAGTATATGTTTTTTCACTCTGTCCATTTAATTTTAATTATAAATAACTTGTTTATAATTTAATTGTTATAAGTCTAAATAAAAGCATAAACTTTGTTTTACTCATACTTTATTATATGAAATGTACAGTTTTTTGGACAGTGAACTGTTTCCATCAATAATAAATAAAAGTACTTAATTTTTAATTCAGAAATGTTATGAGAATTTCTTGGGTATAATATTCACAGTATAGTTATAATACAAATTATTTTTTAACTAACATTTATTCTTTTTAGATGTTGGATCTTTAGATAGAAATAATCAGCAAATAAAAAGAAAATAACAGTGAATTTTGAACAAATTAATAGGTAGTAAGTAAATATATAAAAAAAACTCACTGTTAGTATAAATGAATCATTTCGAGTTGGGATAATATTTGTGAAATTCTCATGAATAGAAATTTCTTAGAAATTACTAACAATATATTCAATTATTAGGATACAATAGGTTTATCATTTTAAAGCTTATCCAAATTATAAACGGTGTCTATAAAATTGTAAATGTTTTATACTTCTTTATATTATATATTAAACTTTTACAATTTTTCTAGATAACCTGTATATAAAAATGTAATTATGAACAAAGAATTTCGAATACATTAAAAATATTTCTATATGTGGGAGGGAAAATAATATCTTAAGTTTAACTTCATAAATCTACTAACACTTAACGCGAATGATTACAAAAGTAACTATATACAAATTATGTATATATCGTTTTCTTTATCTTATCCTAGCTAATGTTACTTAACAAGGCCAGTTAAAAAAAAAAAAAAAAAACAATTGGCATCTCAATTAGAAGAGACGTTCAAGCCAGAGGTGCATGTTTAGCGACCACGGCTGTTACGACATTTTCATCTGGACAGTGAATGTGATCTTTCTTCTTTGTCATGAAGTCTCTGATGAGCAGGTAGTTTATAAAAGAATTGGTGGTCCAAAGATTCCTCCATGGTCATGCGTTGAGTTGGCTCGTATTTGAGCAATTGAGAGATCAAATCGAACAATAGCCGGTGGTCTTCATCTTCAGAGCTCATGTATCTCTAAAAAAGAAATTAAATTATTTTAATTATTAAAGCTAATTAAATGTAATTAATTTTACTTACCTTTAAGGGTTTGCAATTTTCTCTAACATATCGTCCAGCAGAACTGGATTGGTCCCAATCTAATTTGCTATGATAGAAATATTTTGTTTTACTTCTTCTGGCCATCCTACTCAAATTTATAATTCATAATAATTAATAATTAATTATTGAATTAATCAATAAACAAATGATTACTTGTAAGGTATTGAGCCAAGAATTCGCTCCATCATTGCCAGGTGTTCACGATTGTCATGTGTTTGGAATAATGTAATGCCCAAATAAAGTTCAAAAATAATACATCCGATAGACCACACATCACATGGTTGAGCCCACCCAAGTTCTAAAATAATATTAACATGAAAATTTGTTTACGTGAATGAGAGAAATATTTTACCTAAAATAACTTCAGGTGCTCTATAATGTCTTGTTGATACGACTGTACTATGGTGTTCATCGTCAAATGTGGCACTACCAAAATCAATCAATCGTACTTCGGTATCTTTGATCATTTTATAAGCACGCTTCTGTGCAACACCAATTTGAATTAATATATTTATAATTGATAAGGAAAGGCTCACAATATTATACATTACCTTTTTTTGATTATATTGTGTATCATATTCAGATTTGACAAAAAGTATATTTTCAGGTTTTAGATCAGTATGTGTCAATTTATTGCGATGTAAAAATCTGACGGCATAACATAATTGATAAGATATATGCCGTACCTGGTCAATTGTGTATGGTTGATAGTTATTTTCTTTCTGTAAAAATGATTTATATAATTGTTTTAATTTATTATTTGGTTTATATACTACAAGAAAAGCTTACCAAAAAGTCAAAAACACTTAGTCCCAACAGTTCAAATCCAATGCATACATGTCCGCCAAATTCGAAGTTATCAATCATTCGAACACAAAGACTAGCAACAAATATAAGACAATATTCAAACAACAATGTTTTTATAATAATTAGTTTAATGTCATACTTTTTACTTTCTGGATCCTTTGCATTTAGTTTTTCTAAGGCATTAATTTCTAAACGAGCGGCCTCTCGATATTTTTCAACATTTTTTATTATTTTGACCGCAGCAATTTCATCACGACTGAAAAATTTGCAATTTTAATACATTAACATAAAAATATTTTTATTTATTTTAGTTTGGCCTATATTAATAATGAGATTTAAAGGTAATTAAACATCTGTCAAAATGCCAAATGTGCCCTCCCCCATCTAAATTATAATATATAATAGATATACAATTTTGAATTAGTTGAAATATTTCAATAAAATTAAAGATAATTTTATATTTAAAATATAGGTAGGTTGTCAATGTGTCGATTTAGATTTACGCGATAAACATTGATTAATTAATAATAATATTTTTACTAGTAGTATTGAACAACAAATATATATACGCAACCCAAAAAAATAATGATTTATTACTTACTTTTTTAGACATTTGGCACTCACTACCTTTCCAAAAGTACCTTCTCCAAGGGTTTGGATGATTTGATCTGAAATTTGTCAAAGTATACTAGATTAGTACAAATATAAATGAAAGATTGCATCTTCTGCTGGGACAGACCATGGACCTTGATAATATTATAACAATTAAACAATAGTTCAATAGATTTAAGCAAATCTCATATTTGCAAATACCAGGTGAAATTTTTACGAAAATTAAACACGAGAATTCGGAGAAAAATGTTCTCTTATTAATAATTAAAATCAGAAAAAAATATTTAGCGAAATTATAGGATATTTTTTCATTAATTTCTCATTAGTCAAAACAGTAATAGTATTGATAATGCAATGTATATAAAAATATTGACAACCAAATATTAAGTTGATGAGAAAAAGTATTTAGTTGTCCCCATTCAGCCAAAAACCACAAATGCACGCGCTAATGTTTCATCCACATATCATTTTTGTACTTTACTGTTTTTTTGTATTTTTTTTTTTAGAAAGAGTAAGTAATCATTTTTAAAATGTAACTGGTTCACGAACATCTATCGGCCAGATTGTCTCCATTTTTGTATATCAGATGTCCCTCTTCGTCATCCACAATGACTGGACTTCTTGCTCGCTGCTGTTGAGGGTGATCAAACAGTTGCCGTAATTGTTGTCCCAATATTCATCATGTATTCGGTAGGAATTGATTAATAGACGCCCGGCACACACACACACGCGAATTGTTGATGGCCGATTGGTATTCGTACGGGATTTGTACATTCAGGTGGCGCACCCATTTTCAGCAGTTGCGTGTTTTATCGCCCGCAATCATAAAGACAGAAGGACACAAGGCAAAGGAAAGCCTCGTTAACAACTTTTTTCATATACATATACATATTCTAACAAATATAAGTGTTATTTTATATATATTTTTGTTGAAATATATATAAATTAACTATAATATAGTGTGTGAATGTGTATGTTTGGGTTTAAAAATAAAAATCAATAAAAAAAAAAAAATATTCTACCTTTTATATATTATATATTATATAACCAAACAAATGTCACATTAATGTAAATCATGGATTACATGGTTATCAATTATCATTACAATTCGATTAGCATAAAATATTTAATTTATTTTTGAATATTACCTTTTTTATTTTAGAAAACTGCCAAAGACCCATTGTTAATTGCAAACTAACAGAGAAATTATATCATTTAAAAAACTAAATGTAGTGAATAGAATGTAAGTCATTAGATAATTTATAGTCTTATCATATTAAACATTAAAAATAATAGTTACTATTTACTACTTATTATTTATGGCTTATAAGCATGAAGCAATAATTATTTGTCTGTATGCAATATTGTTAAATTTAATTTAACATAAATTGATTTAAATTGTTTTTAACCTTCAAATATCATGTTGGTACAATTAATTTTTATATTTGATTATTTATAGACTTGTTTTTATAAAATTAGCTACACAAAATACATAATATACAAATTCCCGCGTTTTTCAAATTTACAATTTATTTGTAATATTAGTCAATTAATATTCTTTAAGAGGACGCTATACCCGCATGTGTTGTCTCCATTTTACAAATGTAAAACATTGCAAAAACTGTTTTGCGAGGTTAAGAACCACTCGGACCGTAGTCCAAGCTAAGCAACCAAAGTTCTACACTATATAAAGAAGAACATTTACTGTGCAATGTTGTTTTTATTTTTACGAAATCAGAACAAAAAAAATATTCATTGTTAAAAATTAATGAATTTTCAAACTTGAATAACTTTTTTTTTAGTTCTGATATCGAAAATATAAAATCGCCGTTGCACAGTAAATGTTCTCCTCTTTATAGTGTGAAAATTTGGTTGCTTAGCTTGGACTACATTCCGAGTGGTTCTTACCCGCGCAAAACAGTTTTTGCCATGTTTTACATTTGTAAGACAGAGATAACACGTCACGCGTGTAGCGTCCTCTTAACGCGTAAACAACTAAAGGTTTATGGGAGGGGGGGGGGAAATAAAATAACATTAACTTAATGTTGAACACGCTCGAAAATAGATAGCTCAGCATGGCCTATATATTTTGAGAACTCTTGGCGAGCAGCGGTAAAGAGTGCCCCCTCTTACTAAAACGACCAACCAAATACACAATTATCGTTTTTCACGATTTTCGTAAGCAAATTGTCTAGTACATTTTTTTGATTCCTACATAATATTATAAATACGAATTTACTTCTAAATAATACGCTCGCGGGGCAATTATTGTAAATTAGAATAAGTTCGAAATAATCGTAAAAAGAGTTACTTTCAGAAAGCAGAATCGGGATCTAATAGGTTAATTTTTAGTCGAATGAATATACAATTGGGTTTATATTTCATACGCTTAGGAGGGACCAACTTTTTTATTTTATAATTTATTAAAAATGAGTGAAAATAGTTATTTCGTCAATTGCGTCTACTAGGGGTTACTAATGATAATTTAAACTTGTTTTCTTTAATTAAAATAGATCAACGTATGCAAAGCATACACATACAACACACGTGACAACTTACGCCACTGCTCACAGAAGAGGTAAGAATGGAAGAATACTTTTGTTGGCACTTAGTCAAAACACTAGGAGTATCATCGGTTTCCTCGTCATTGTCCAAGGCTGAATATTTCATAATCAATGTTTGTATCTCCTTACGCTTGGCTTCACGCTCCGTTATCACGGGGTCTACAACTTGTGCTACAGGTTCGGGTGTATGTATTGTAGCAGTGATAGTTGTAGGAGACCGTTTTAATGGTCGTATGGACAAAAGTACGTTGGGTTTATGGCGACGATACGGGGTCTTTTCACGCGGTGTTTGATGAACAAATGGATAAGCCTTTTCTGATAACAAAACCGTGGTAGCACTTTTGGTGAGGGGCCTTTGTTGTCTTCGGTAACGATGGGCATCTAAGGCGGATAAATAACGATCTTCATTACGCACAGAGTACCCAGATGAATGAAACGGGCTAGGAAGATAGGAAGACGACGACGATGACGAAGGAATATTGTGATTTCGCGATGTTTCGACGGGTTTGAGTTCAGGTTTACGGATACACTCGGATGGACCACGAGATCGTCCAGTTATGCGGTTAATAAGACTAGAACAAGAATCTGATAACATTTGAGTGACACTAACTGTCGACGATCGAGCGTACCTAGTGCGGCGCTTTTCGGACGGAGCGTGGCCATTCATATCCGGAGGAAACATTTACCGAACTTATAAATTTATATTAAAAACGTAATAAAATAAATTGAAAATAAATGAATTAAAGTGTCTACTGAATGATCTAATGTATCTACATGGCCCTGGTTCGGAAAACTGTTGGTCAACTGTATTGTGGACCTGGCATACATGAAGCGGCCCTCGCACATTGAGGCAATCTTCCAAAAAATCTATTTCTGTGTCAACCGGACAGTGTAGAAAAAAAAATCCCGACCTCTTCTGTAGAAGTGAAACGTGGGCCACACGTCACAGGCTTTGTTGACAAAATTTTATTTTTTCTTCCCCCACAAATGAAAATATTAAAGTATTAATGACTAGTAGTGGCCTTGAAAAACATTTATATATACAATATACATTTATATGTACTAACATATATAATATATATGTGAGTATATACTTTTTTAGTTATTGAGAAAATGTCTAAAGTTTAGGTATACTGTTAATATTTATAAAAATACTTCAATAAGTAGGTTTCTTTTATAATTTTATATTTTATACAACTTAATAAAATAATAATTCAATATTTAATTCATTGTTTAAGTTTTAATTTTTGGCATAATGCTTTCTTACTTAAATTAATTATTGTAATTTTCCAACAATAAATATTTTTAGTAGCTAATTAATAATTGTCATACAACATAATAAAGAATACATTGCTGTATTTTTTTTTTTAACCAAATATATGTTTATTATTTATAGTAAATTATTGTCATAATTATACTAAATGATAAATTTAAAATACATGGTTTTTTTTAAATAAAAACATATAATAAATAAAATACATATGTACAAGTGTTCTTAATTATTACTTATTAGTAACTAATTTGATAATAAATACTACTTTAGATAATACTGACTGGGTTTACGGGCCACCAATGAGCATCTACTAACACAGCAGCAGGCGGTTGGGGTGGTCTGACCCTGTGTGTAGTTCTGGATGAACGATTACGACTGTGTTGTCTAACCACAGCACCATCCGTGTGATGCCATGGTGGTACAGGCCGTCGCCTGAGGGCATGCTCCTCGACAAACATAAGTGCAAACACGACATCCAACAGCCTACTGGAGGCGTGATGTTATTTTCGAAACTGAGCCAGAAGTTTAGAGAGCGCGTTTCGATAATATAAATTATGGAGAGACGTATAGTTTATATTTAGATGGCATGTGATTGCAAATGAGGAAAATAAACTGTAGAGAATTCAGTATTAAAATCCCTCTCCCAGTGAATCTACTAGTTTAGATAAATATATATTACTAATTATAGAATCAGTTTTCCACATTGTATACACCAATTTAATTGGACCCTAACGTCTGTTACGCACATGTTTTAGTAGATACCTAATAGTAGGGAAGTTTCTGTTTAAACGATCTAATTTTTATTTACTATAAATTATATTAATAGAAAGCTAGCTATGGCACAACGCCAATTGCTTAAAATTTGCAAAAATTGTATCCAAGTTTTTAAATTTATTTAATTAATGTGACATTTGTTATTGATTTCCAAATACCAGACAGATATTAAACATAAAAGCATTTTTTAACTACTGACCTTTGAATGTGACCGTTCTTTATGTCTATGGTGTCTATGATGCATATTTTCATCTCCGCTTCCAGGTGATGGATGGCGCCTAAGTCTACGACGTTGATGATTGGTTGAACCAGGAGACCTACGATGACTGCGCTTGTATCTACGTTCTGCACTTGTTCCTTGATCATGCATTCGTGAACGATTACAACGTTCATTACTGAAATGAGAGATATTTGATCTATTTTAGTGTATTGATCAAAAGCTATTGTTAGTATTATATAATAAACAAAATACTAATAAAGGTATTTTATGATTACACAGATCTATCTACAAGGATTAAAATTAAATTTCTCTGATATGAACATAGTAACAATGACATGATATATTAAAAATCTGAAAGTGCACATTACATTTATAAAAAGTAAAATGCATGTTTAATAATAATTAACATTCATAAAATGATGGCTTATTTTTTAAAAATAAACTATTAAATTAGGTAGGTATATTTTAGATAATAAAATATCATAACTGAGATAAGTTTCAGGATATTGTGTTTTGATAAAATGTGCCCTCTAATCACAGTATGCAAGTAATGATGCATAGGTTATCTGGGATTTTGTAGTTTTACGAAATATGTAAACAAAAACAGTTTAAAAATTATAACTTATAACTAACAAAATCTAAGTAGGTAAAGGAAGATTATTCAGATATTAACTAAAACTAAAATTTAAATGAAATTACAAAAAAACTAGTTATTATTAAAAGTTAAACATAATGTTAAAATACCTGTACAATAAAATAAGTTCAGCAACAGTAGGCATAGTTTAAAATTTTTAGTATTAAATTCACATAAATTTTTTTATTTTACTAATTTGACTTATATTTTTTTTATTAATGTCAGAGCACAACCAAACAGCCTTGTTGATTGAAATATAGTGATAGAATAATACAAGGTTGTGTGTAAAAGATAACCCATTATACGTTTACAAACTGCAAACTATACACTATAACTATTCATACCAAATATGGAAACTCACTTGTCACAGAAAAAAAATCTTACATAATATTTACAAAATAGTAGAACAACGCCATACATCACAACTACCGAAATAATGTTATTTTTTGCTCTAAATGTAGGCATACAATATATACATAAAAAAACCAAGAATTAACAACATTTAGTCTATACAAAATGTCTATTTATTTCAAGGTGAATTAAGATGTTATTTAGAATTATTGTTTACAATATAGGTAACAAGGTGCATACAAACAATAGATTAAAGTTACCCATATATTATATAAAAAAAGAAATTGAATTTAAAAAATTAACCTATTTTTGTTATCAGTAATATATTGTTTAGCTATTGGAAACGAATAGGTAGTAAGCCTATTATTTTATTTCATAGAATTATAAACATAATACATATTGTGTTTGTTTTGAAACACATAATTCTATTAGGTATGTATTTGATAGTTTAAATGGTTAGAAAAAAAAAATTACATATTATATATTATTATGTAATTAAAATATTTCTTGAGAAATAAATTATGGATTAAATGTTATGTAGGTATACATAAAATATTTTTTTAGATAATATGATGATTAGTTGAAGTATAAAAATATAAAGAATCTAATAAGTATATAAAAACAAATTTATTGCGATAAAAATCATATTTATTTGGTACTTTTATCACAGCGTTAAAATGGTTTTAGGTCAATGGATAGTTAAATTTGCACTGGAACATAACCATCAATAAGAAAATGATTGTCAATGGTTCAGAAACCGTTTTAATCATACAAACATACTAAATGTTCATTAAACTAGGTAATATAATAATCTAATTGTTATTTTAAAAGTGTTGTTTTATTTGTGAATATTCCAAATCTATTTCTTTACAATAAACACTTTACAAAAAAAAAGATTCTACATTAAAGATTTTTTAAATTTTCAACATCAGCATAAAATACCCTTGTAGGAAACATATGCTGACAGACCATGTCTCTAAGAATCAAGTTTTGTATACAATAATTTTATATAGAGTGATCTACTAGACACCTAATGTATAGCAAGCAAAACGGTAAACTCTTTCTCAACTTATATAACATTGTAGTTGTTTTCTACAATGTGTGTGACCGTGCAAGCATTTAGCATTTGTAAATTTAAATATTGAATATTGTGATTTTGATACATACAAATTCAGACAATGTATTTAATTTAAGTTGGAAGAATTAACAATAGCAAATTGAACACTATTGAACACTTGGTGTGTTGGTGGCTTGGACATATAGTTTGATTATCAAGTGTCCAAAGAAGATAAAGTTGATCAATTAGTTGGAAACGTAAAATTAAGTTTAATTAATATTCTTTGAAATTAACATAAATCATTGGAAGTATACAAATTGTACATCTAAATGACTGTTAGGATAAATATAAATATATTGTAATCTGCTACCATTATGAATATATGTATCATTTGGGTGTAATTCTATTTCCTAATGATGTTGCCAACATAATTATCATTTAAATTGTTGATATTGAATTATTGCAGCAATAAGAACGAAATTTATCTTTAAAATGACAAATTATTAAAATAAAGTAGGTATAAACTGATTAAAAAACAATACCAATCGTTTATTTTACCCTAAAAGACTAAAATAATATGAACTTTAATCTACTTATACAGGGTGATTCTTTTATCATTGAACACTCATTATTTCAAAAAGTATTTATGTTTTTGAAAATATTTTTTTTATAATTTTTGAAGTTTTTTACTTTTTTGAATGACAACATAGTTTTAATTTCATATTCCAAGCAGAATATTTTTCTAAATATTTTGAAACATAAAAATTGAATTTAGTACGAGTAGTTGAGATGAGTAAGTTATAAGTATTTAAAGTTTAGACAAGCAGAGTAGTGGATAAATATTTTGTGGGGTAACCCCTTACCACTCTTCTCCGCACATCAAAACTTTAAATACAGTAGAAATCGGTTATAACGAGTTTCAAGGGCCAACTAGTTTTTCTCGTTATAACCGGTAACTCGTTATATGCGGTTAGAACGAACATTCGTTGAAACCGATTAAAAGCGGAAATACAAAAATAAAACCGACTTTTTTTATTTTAGACAAAAAATTTTTATTTACATACATTATTTATACATTTATTATTGAATTTATTATTTAACTTGAATTGATTTAATTTTTATTTAATAAAATAATATAATAAATAAATAAATGATAATATAATAAACGCCCGATTATACCGATTTTTTCGTCCAACGTAAACTGACGACGCGACATGGTGGAACGTCTACACACAACTGACGCTATTTGTAATTTTATTAACTTTAAAACACCAGAATTTGTAAGAATAATGTTTATTATTAATAAGTAATCCATATCTACACAACTAAAGATAATATGTCAATGATTAATCGACCTAAATACGAAAATAGTTCGTATCTTGCAGGTACTTGTTCGTAGTAACCGGAAAGTCGTTAGTCAAGTTAGCTTTATTTTACTCGTTATAGCCGATAACTCGTAATAACCATACTCGTTGTAAACGTATATTTTAACATACAATCATATGCGCTCGTGCCGGGACCTAACGTTTTGCTTGTTGTAAGCAGTATCTCGTTCTAAGCGATGCTCGTTATAGTGATTTCTACTGTACTTATAACTCATCTACACGTCCTAGATTCAATTTTTATGTATCAAATTATTCAGAAAAATAGTCTGCTTTGGAATATGAAATTAAAACTCTATGTTATCATTCAAAAAAGTAAGACTTAAAAAAATGTTTTATTTTTTAACAACTTGAAACTATACAAAAAAATATTTTCAAAAACATTAATACTTTTTGAAATATTGAGTGTTCAATGATAAAAAAAAAACCTGTATATATTTTTTTTTGATCTTGTCACTACCTATTAAAAGCACAATTGGCTTTTGTTTGGCCTCAGTAACTAATTTGTTCTGAGGTGAAGCATTGACTGGAGTTGATAGTTCCCGGATAGATGACTATTTTAGTGACAAATTCTTGCTCCATATACGCTTGTTTCTCAATCAACCGTAATCCCCCTACAAAATGCTAATAGCTATAGTTGCCGATGCTTAAGATTAATAAAAAAAAAGGAAGATAAATTATCAACGTAAAGGAGGTTAGTGGGATATATTATTTAATATTAGAATAATGTGAAATTGGATAAACAAATCCATACAAGCTACAGAATAAGATATGATGAACTAGTATTAAAATGTTAATAGTACACCTCAAATGTGATGGAAGAAACATATTACTGCCCTTGAATGATTTATATTTTGATTATCAACCCTATCTAATGATATTTTAAGTTTAGAAACTATTAGAAAAAAGTGAAAGCTAATGGAATTTTAGCTGTATAAAACTACAAAAATGTGATGACGTAGATATGCTTTCTTGTATTCATTTAAAATGCATATATTTTAAGCTGCCAACAGGAGCTTCGTCTACCAACTTCCTACCAACCATTCACTCATGGTAATACTAGTCCATTATATAAACTAATTCATCTTCTATAATATTTAATACTCAGTAAGAACTAATTCCTAATTCTTAATTTTCTACGAACTGCAAAAAAGAAGAAAGAAGAATCAATCTTGTTAACGCATTTCCTTGGATTCATGGAAATGTCACTTGAAATTATAATATAGGAATTTTGTTATAGCTTTATTTTTACATCTGTGTATGAATTTTTCTAATAAATGTAATGTTATACATATTATGTGTATGTATGTACCTAATTACGGCCTACTCAAATGGGATCTTGGTGGACTGAGCACAGAATTGACTAGAAACGAGAAGTTGAGAAAAAATATATTTTCAGTGATATTAATGGTTTAGAATAGATTGTTTTATTCTTAGTCACAAATTTAAATAAACTAATGTATTATGAAGTAAATAGTCAAGGTATTATTTAAAATAATTACCTAATAAGATATCAAAAATAGATTTTTGAACTCATTGAAATGTTTAATGCAATTTATTATTAAATGTCAAAACTTCTTAATAAATTATAAATATTATGTTTAATAATTAATGCCCTCAGATCTCATAATCAAGGCACATTAGATATTTCTGTTACTTGGTTGAATTAGAAAAAATTGTATTGAAAAAAAAAATTAGTAGTGAAAAATTAAAATTAGAAATTAAAATTCAACTAAGTAAAGAATAATCTGTAGCATAATAAATTGTCTTCATTGGGCATGCCAGTCATTAGGCTATTCAAATATTCAAGGCAATAACTGAAATAAATAGAAATAAAAAGCTTAAGTAGGTAGGTTGTTTCTGAAAGTATTTTAAAATAATAAAAGGTAAACGTTATTTTATAATTATACGCTATATACATAATGATCTCTATAAATACAGTATAATAATATCAGTATTTTGTAATAAATATACCTGTACGATGAATTATATTCATCTCCTTCTTCATGACGACGTTTACGTCTAGATCGACTACGGGATCTGGAATTGACTTGGGGGTTCATATGAACTCGAATTAGCTCTTCTAGATATTCTTGGCATCTGAAATATTAAATTAAATAATTAAAACTTTTTATTTGACGGATATTTTTACTTGTACCTATTTTTTATTTAGAAAAAAAAAGATTTATTGAATGTTTACAAACTATACTTAATTAAATAGGGTAATACAGACATTAACATATGCATTAAGTACAAATAATAAATACAAAGTTGAGTAGAAGACTACTAGTTATCTATTGAATAATTAATAAAAAATTATTTGATAGTAAACCCTCAGATCTCATAATCAATGCACATTAAGAACTACCATAATTTTCTTGAATTTTATATAAATTTAAAATAAGTATCTAGTACCTATGAAAATTAATAATAAATGAATGAATAAAAAAAATGAAAAAAAATTGTATAATTCAAAAAAATTTTGGTTGAGTATCAGTTAGCTTATATATTTGTCATCATAGGGTACTATTTTCCAGGTGATATAAAACATTCAAAGTTTAATTTTATTATTTATACAATTTTGCTCAATCTCTTAAGATAAAGTGTACATATTTATTTTCACAATATAGTGCCTAGTCAAAAGTTAGCATACCATACATTTGACGTTTAAGGATGGCCAGTATTGAGCGTATTATATTAGATTGATCCTATTATATCGAAGTTGGCCAAGATCTAATACAGTTTGTTTCCAATAAATGATGTGCGAGTAGGCAGCCATGCCGGTTTCGTTAATAGGGATCCGATTGAATGTTCACAATAAACCATTCTAATATGTTATTTTTAAAACTAGAGTGAATTGATCCATTTATTTTGAAGTAATTAATGATCATATCAAAAGTAAAAAATGTTCACTATAATAGCACAACAGAGCAAAATCGAATATTGTAAATTTGAAAATTTACATGTCTAACCAACGTTAGAGTAAAACAGAGACATCATAGGCGCATATTATGCATCTTCAAAATAAGGGTTTACTTATTAATGTCGCATAAGGGTGCATACAAATCACAGTAATTGGAAAATATTCAGTTAAAAACCATGTAAATAAGTAACAGTAATTAGGTAGTAATAAAATAACATGTATAGGAACCTAGAAAATGTTTACTGATATACCCATATAGGTATGACATATTACTAGCCATGTGCAATATATTCAGCAGAATATTAGGTTCAAAAGGTCATAATAGTTAAACTTCTGATTGCTTTTTATTTTTTTGGTAATTACGATAATAATAAATGCATATCCTTAAGGAAGAATACACAAAAAAAAAACCAAATGTGATCTTGTATTGTACAATGAATCCAGTAGCGAGACAAAAAATTATAATGCACGTATAGTTCGTACGGTGTAAGGTTAGGTTTACTGTAAGGGATGTCCACGAGTTGAAACGAAAGAGTAAATGAAAAACTTGTTCGGTCATCAGAAAAAAACGAAATACCTACGGACGGTATTATTTTCGTCCAGGTTTTAAATCCCCACCGCACATTAACGGCCTAAAAAAGAGAATAAAAAAAAAAAAAAAGGGCTGGCAATCGATAAGTGTGTTATCGGTCGTCGTGCAGAACATGCGATTGAACACATTATTTGCGGGGGGGTAAAGATAAGACTAGGGAATGGGAAAATAAAAAAATCGGGTCTCAATATTATATTTGTTTTTTATGTTTAAAATCGAGATGAAGACATAATCGCCTGTGGGATTAATGTGGCATGGACGTATGAAGGGGGGGGGGGTGGAAAGGTGAGGGGAGAATCGGAATAAACTGCCAGCAGGCAACTTTAAATTAACGTGCAAATGTGCCGTGTACTTACGATGAATTCCCGGACGTAACCGGAGGTTAATTTTATTAAGTCGAAAATGTCAAAAGCTTGGGATTCGACGGGTTCGGTAAGCGACGGTGGCGGGAATTACTGATTTCAGATGAAATGCTGATGACATCAAACGGCGATTGACCGTGAACAAAAAACACAAACACGTCGATAACTCGAGACGTTATGATAGACAATAATAGTGTACTAGTGTAACTAAGGAGAACTAATGAGTAACGAATAACGAGTATGGTCTGTAACGTACAATCCGAAATAATATGAACCGTGGTAAACACGTAGTTTTCACGAAACTGGACGAAAACAACGTGAATAAAAAAATGGACACGGGACAGGCCAATTGGCCAATAGAATAAGCGATCGGAGGCCTGGGGCAGCAGTGTGACCAACGCACGGGCGTATCGTATGAGGCATAACCTCAATGTATTAATAATAATAATACGATTTTAATTCTTATCTTAGCTTCAATAACAACTAACTGATATATCTTATCGACATCCCATATTCCCATTACCACGATCTAAGAAAGTAATAAACGATAATTATACTAATAATAAAATACTTTTGACCATTTTATTATTAATTAAATGGATTCCGGCGAAGAAATGGCTTCCAGTGATCGTGATGAAATAGATAGTGAAGAATTTGGTTCAGACATTGAAATGAAATCCGGCGAAGAATTTGGTTCTGACGAAGAAGAAAACTACTCTGACGATGGTTCAAGGTATGAGTGTAGCGTTTTTTAATAACTGTACTACAAAATTAATGATGATTGTAGTCAGTGGTTTAGTGATTATAGTGATCCAAGGAGGGAAAAAGGGGCATATGCCCCACTCCCCAATCTCGGTATTTCCCCTATGTTTTACACTACGTTTAGCCAATTTTGTACTTTCCCCCCATGCCCTCCACCCAAAATGAAGCCCTGGATTCCGCCACTTATTGTAGTTCAATATTGGATTATTGAAAAATGAATATTTGGTCCAAATTAATAAGAAATGTGTGCACAATTGTAAAAAAAATGAAGTTATTTGTTGTGTTGTATAGGCCAACGTTTTCAGTAAATCTGTATTAAGAATCTAAGTAAAATGATAGAAATATAGGTTTTAACTTTTAAATACCAAATCAATATTTTTAATCTTACAAAACAAAACAAAAATTTCATTATTTTAATCGATTTGAAGTTTGAACAGAAATCTGTTGATATTTGGTAAGTCAACGGATTTTTGTTGTAGTTTCTGAAATAATGCTTAAAAATGCACGCAAAATTTAAAATTAAATACTGTTTTTTTTTACATTTTAATAAAAAACACAAACAATATTACCTACAAATCATATTTATATTAAAATTAGCTATTTTGAATAATTAAAAGCTGTATAAAAAAAAAAAAATCAAAATAATATCAGTACTATTAGTTTATGTACTTGGTTACAAATAAACCAAAAATAAAAAATTTACTATAATTATCATTAAAACCGTTATGTTATAGCTTCGATCTCGATGGTTAAAATTACAAATTATTTATCAATAACAGAATATAATATGTATTAGGTATGCATAATACATACATTAATTAGGTTCATGCACATTGTTAGTTATGAGGCATCGGCCTGATCCACACTTTCATCGCCGTCGTCAGAGTTGGTTGTTTTAACCATTGATTTAAATGTTTTATCTCTTGAGACCTCTTTTACATGGTCATCGTCTTGTAGTTGGTGGCTAATTGTCACACAACTTTTCCATTCGTCAATAGGCACCGAATCCAATGCCCCGTACACCAATTTCTCGACATCTTCAACTTTTAAAGTAGTACTGTGCTCAACAATTTTTGCTCTTACTGGTGTCCATATAAGCTTGATGGGATTGTATTGATAGTGATATTGCGGTAGTTGTACAACCTCATGTCCAATTGATAACGCTATTTCATTCAATTCTTTTTCTTTCTCTATAGGTAATACTATGTTGACCCGCTTGCTAACTCTTGTGACGTTTCCAGTGGGGGAAAACTCTACTCTCTTTGCGCGTAGCTTAGGGTAATTTTTCGAATGGACCCAGTTGTACCAAGCGTTATCCACAACAATGACACTAGGTTCTTTCAAATTTTGTAGAATTTGAATGAACCAGTCTTTAATTTCTACGGAGTTTATTTGAGTGCGATACTCTTCAGATGAACCCTTACATCGAAAGACTAATTTTGAATCCTTCATGAACCCATCCGAACTTGAACCAGCATGGAAAATGATGAGTTGATCTCTTTTACCTGTAGGTACTTCAAGCTCGCCTAAATAAATGACCGGTCGAACGTCATTATTTAGACGGAAGTTAACCATCTTCCTTAAGAAATTCATACGCATAACTACAACATCATTTTGCTCCATTATAAACCGTGGAACGTCTTTACGTTTTCTGTAACTGAATTTTAATGAATTCAAAATTGTTCTTAAAGATGTTATGGAACCTTTATAATCGGTTTTTTCTCGGTACTTTGATAAAATTTGTACTAACGTAGGGTATTCGCCTCGGTCATAAAATTCATGAACGGTTTGCCTTAAAATAGCTTTGTCGGAGTCATTGATATCCGTAACATATTTAGTGCGTTTATATGTTTTACGAGGGGTGGTAAAACACTGTTCAGTTTCTGAGCCGGAAGGTATTTTAGAACCTTCCGATGTTATTCGTTTAATCGTCGATACACTGATACCACAAGCTTCTGAGGTTTTTTGTATTGCTGGACTAAAAAATTTAGCTACTTCGGGATGAGATGAGTCCTTGGATAACTTTTTGAAATATGAATATACTGTAAAAATAATGTGTTTGGTTTGAGCTTCAATGTCATGGCGTTGGGAAGACATTTTAAAAAGTGTATAACACAAAATACGTCACTTTAACGTAGCAAAGATTTGGGCAAGTGGAAAACTGTCAACTATTGATTTCTAAAGCTTCTGTATTATTATCTTAAATCGTATTTTTGACATGAAGATGTAAATACACGGATAACGGTGGACACACGTCTTTACATAGGTAGATAATAATACAATGATTCGTATCTTATTGTCTATGGGTGTACACGATTGGTTTCCACAGGTGGTTTAAACATTCCAGGACGATAATATTATGTACACATTATTATATTATTTAACGTTAGGTTATGTAATAAAGTTACTTTTCAGTATATTACTATATTACCTTGAACGGTGAACTTTTCCGAAAGAAATTAGCACTGCGATTGGCTGAATCTTGCTGTTAGTAAGCGGTATTCAACAACGCTACCATAGTACAATATATTATTAAGTCCAGAAAGTGGAATGTTATATTTTGAATCCTATCGCAGAGGCACACAGAACAATAATTTATACTGGACTACTGGAGCGACACTGACTGTCGGGTTAATCTCTTTTCTATGGACACGACACTGCTACCAATAGCAGGTTGCTGGAGGCTTGGTAATGTTGTTATAAAAAAACGATGTCGAAATGTATGAACTGTTTATAAAATTAATTCCTATTAATGTGTGATGATGTGTTAATAACAGACTATTACATATGAAAATTATTTTAACTACTTTCAAACATTACATACAATATACAAATAGAAAAATGAAAATAAAATACGTTATGAAAATTAATATTATAATTTATTTTGATAACGGTATCAATTATTGAAATGGAGGCGTCAGCTGATTCCACATTTTTCTATAATATTTTCTATAGTTAATGACAACGATATTAAAAATTAATAATGATAAATTATTTTAATATCTATGGTAAATGTCCGTGGTTAATATATTATATTTATTATGCTGGAGACCAGCCGCTTATTGAATGTGCAAGAGCCAAATGGGGGGGGGGGGTCGTAATGAGCACCGATAATTTACAACGCTATCTACTATAAAACACAGACTAACAGATACAAAGTTTGGCGCCAAATATAATTATCTATATTACATTGTTCTATGATATTACCCATGCGCGATGTGGATAAAATTGATCTAGGTATCTGTAATTGGGGAGGGCAGTGCCCATGAATTCAAGCTCATGTCATCACTTTTTTTCAAATAGCATTTTAGGATTTCAGAAAGTGTCGTACATTATGTTTATGTAGTATGTACGTACGGTACATGTCACCGTCGGACTATGATATTATTATCTTAGTATTCGTACAATATTATTGAAATGGATTAGGCCTCTGTTATTAAGGATATCTAATAATCCTATTTTAACAGAATAAGGGGTCCGTAGGCCTATCTTTATAGCCTTATAGGTAGGTATAATATGTAGACGTCGCGGTTCGGAATCTGGATGAGGGACAGCTTTTATCTTGGGTAAAATAGAAAAATCTGAGGCTTTCATTTTCTCACTGGCTCCGATATGAATATTATTGGACTAAAACTAAATATAATAATATGTTCCATACCAAATGACATTGCTAGTTATGTGTAATATATCCAAATAATATTTGTAAACCAAGATAACCCTGGGCCTACACACGAGTTTACATCCTCAGTGGACCTAGTAATCATGGCATTAATTAAATTAAAAAAAAAAAAAAAATGTAATTACTCCAGCAAGGGGTTTTTACAATTTTTCGGCATATCATACGTTACGTTATTGCCTATTGGCTATTAATAGTAGATCACGGCGGACCCGGTAGATCACACTCTTTACCAATATTATATAAGTTATTAATGAAAATGTTCCAGAATTTGTTTTCGGACTTTTTGTCCAACTTTTCTCAAAACTGACTTTTGTTCCGGGATTGGACATAACATAAATGCACAAACTAGTTAAATATTTATACCTATTTGCGTGGTCACGTCACTCATGTGGATTGGATGTCAATAACGCTTAAATTGTAGAACCACCACCAGAGGCACCTCAAAATATAATTAATATACCTCACTAATTCTTGCCACTTGCTCGTACTCTCATTTTGAAAAATGATTCGTGCGTTTTATTTTCTATCCTAAATTGAGGTGCTGATATTAAAAACCGTCCAAGTTGCATTTAATGTGAAAAGATTGCCAAAAGAACTATTAAGAACTATATTTTCACGAAGGTAACGAAAGCAAAAATAGTTGTTTACTGATACGGAATTTGAAGTTTGACCACAGATTTTATGAAAGATCATATTATAATCTGTGGTTTGATCAACGCCATTCGTCAAAACAAAAATGTATTATCAACGGTACCAGAAACTCTAAAGTTTAGTTAACTGTTGAAAAAGTCGATTAGTGATATATTAGGAGTAAACATTTTAGACATAAAATTCGATTGCTCTCGGTACCTCCGTGAAAATTATGATATTGAACTTGTTATTAAATGTACATTTGCTGGGTTAGGTTTATGCCTAAAGTTATTCTGATTTTTTTTTAATGTATGTATATTTATGTTTTAGTACACAGGGTATGGCGGAACCTTTGACAGACATAGAAAAGGCAAAGGTTGTTATGGCACATAAGGGTAATGACTCATGGCTTTATATTATATTAATCAAATGTATTAATATTATTATTCTCTTTTTAGAATTTTACGACAATCTATTACTCCTCCGCATAAGGCTTCAAAAATGCCTTTCACTTGCCAATACTCTTCCACAAGACTTGGACAAAATTACTAAGGAAGACAAGGAAGAATGCGCCTATGACACTGTAAAAGATTTAGAACAGTATTTGATAACGGTGGTAAAATATCAAACAGACTTACTTGCTAAGAATCAAAATGTTAAAATGATGTAAGATTTTAAATATAAAGTATAATCTAACTAATTTATATGGAATAAATCTAGTTTAGTTACCTTGTATTTTTCCCAATAAATATTATTTATGACTAAAAAAAAATCCCAATTCATATTGTGTTATGTATAGATTTGTGGTCTACCAACATGTTACGAGTATGGTTTTACCAGGTATAGTATTCAGTCTTCCTTTAATTCGAATATCTTCTAAAATAATAAGCATTTACAGATGAATACAAATTATATTTTCAATCAAAAAGTTCCGTTAGTAATCATTAGTGTAATAAATCAGTTTATCAAAAACTTTAAATTTAAAAAAAAATTATAAAATTAAAATTGATTTAGGTAACATTAATTTTAAAAAATAAATCGATAAATAAATGACTGCAAATATATATAAAAAATAAAAGTTATCTGACAAAAATGTTTATCATATCCACATTGGTGTAACTAGGAGAGGGGCTAGATGAGGCTTAGCCCCTCAAAATTGACGGTTTCAGCTCCCCTATTCGATTCGTTTTTTACTTTTTAGCACATTCTGGTTTAAATTAAATTCCTTGTGTAAAAAAAACTATCATAGGTTCTATGTCTTAAATAACTAAAAATTTTATATCTATGATATAATATATTAATATTGTGGATGTACCATGTACGAGTATCTGTCAGAAGAATAAAAGTATACATTGATTGTGAGCCAAAACAGAGTCAGTTAACTACCTATAATATATATAGTAAGATAATCATCCAATACGATTATCGATAAAGATATTTTATAAATATTTGTATCTAAAAATATTTATAAATAAAATATAGGCATAGCATGGTTAGTTTAGGTTTACTTTTTTTTAAAGTTTTAAAATATATTATTAATCTAACATTGATCTTATTTTATTGATAACATTTTTTTAATGTCTCCCATTAGACATTTCAGACACTTTTACGTCTTGATGGTTTATTTTAAACTTTGGTTTTCTAGAACTCTAGCCCCTGTGACTATTATATCCTAGTTACGCCATGCATGTCCCTCAAAAATGCATTAATTAAATTGGGTATACATATTCTCTGCCCAAAATCATAAATTAGGTAATAAAGATAAACTACTAAATGAACAGCACGGTATATAAACTAGATTTATTACAAAAACCATACTAGTACAATAATATTTATGTGAATTATCTTACTAGTGATAAAGACAAAGCTACTATGTTGACAAATAAACTGAATCACAAAGACTTTGAACATGTCTTGCAAGCACATCATGAAATATTCAAACCTTATAGAGATGAGACAATACAATTCTGGAATGAACGAACAAAGCTCGCATCAGGAAAAGCTGCAAAATCAGATTTCTCAGCTTTTGATCAACCTACATTATTACAAATTGATCAAATAATGGCTGATAAAACTAGGTTAATTGAACGTACTCAAATCAAACGATCCAAATATTGCATTGTTGGTAATCCAGAATCAATAAACACAGATGTTGATCAGGAAATATTTGATGATGATGATTTCTATCACAAATTACTTAGGGACTATATTGAAAATAAAACTGCTGATATCACAGATTCGACTCAACTAGGAAAGTAAGTTATTTATATAAGTAATTGCAAAGACATTTAAATAAATAAAATCTTTAAAAATACTATTTTCAGACAATGGTTACAATTACAAAAGCTGAGGAGTAAAATGAAGCGTAAAGTTGATACCAGATCAACTAAAGGAAGGAAACTTAGGTACACTGTTCATACAAAATTGATGAATTTCATGGCGCCCAATGACCAATCCTCATGGTCTGATGAAGCTAAACAGGATTTATACAACTCTTTATTTGGTAAAAAAAATACTGGTTGACACTTGATGCAATAAATTAAATGTATTCTCACATTATGTTATTTGTTATTAGTTATTCCATATAATTCTGTACATTTTAGAACAACATTTTTACTTTCACATTCAATATCTTATAGTATGCTAATCGTACTTACTGTTGTCTAGATTTTTTCAGGTGCGGTAGTGGTTTTACATTTCTCACCGTTCAAACACATATTTTAGGCCACTTATACCACTTTTCATTTTTACCCTTAATAGCATCAATAAAGATTATAGGTAGTTCACATTTTTTACTGGGAAAAGTTTTAAAATATACAATTGATCATTACACATTTCTTCTATTGTATTAAGTATAACCATCATAATATTTTAACCAGAACACTTTCCCTAAGCACTGCTTACAAGTGTACAACTAAGTGAACTATACTACCCTACAAATATGACATGTTATTATATAACTTAAATAAGTTTTCTTTTAATGCCTCTAAAAAAAAAGACAATTTTCTTTTAATATTTTTAGTTTATTTTGCATATTATTTTACCTTGGAATTTGCATTGAATAATTAAAGATTTTTTGATATTACAAACTTGAATGAATGTGTTGATTAGATGCGAGTAAACTTATGTAGGTATGTTGAAAATGACTGATCAACGTCAACTGATGTTATTGGATAGTTTTTTAAATATATGAGATCATTTACACATAAATCATCTGGATTCTGGTAATCCTTCCGTGGTTTCTTTTTCATTTAATATCTCTGATATTTTTAAATCTTCTGCTATTATTTTTGGATAAAACAGATACAATCCTAATTTTTAACATTTTCCTTTTGTTTCTTAAAGAAAAATTTGACAATAGAAATTGAATCTGCAATTTCCTTGTTTTTCAAGTCTTGTAATTGAATTGTGTAAATATCCAAAATTTAATCTAAAATATCAGCCGGGATTCAATATTTTGATCAGAGAAGTCACCGCCTAAAAAAATTTATATTATAAGAAATATTCAACATCATTCCTAATATAGCATATTATAAGAAATATTCAACATCGTTCCTAATATAGCATATTATAAGCATAAAAAACAATTTTTATCTTAAAAAATTGAGTATTTAACATTAATTGGTCATGATTCCAATCTAGATTCGTAAGATAAAATATGATAAATAATAATACATTTGTACTTTAACTTTAGGTCTATCGTCTATGCTTAAACTAAATAAGTCATAAAATAAGTACCCATACAATATTATTTTATACAATAATGATTGTACTGAGTGGTAAATCTGACTTCAAATTTTGCTGCTTCACTGTGTTATGTCTCACCATGGCTCATAGTGCATTAGTACATTAGTCTATTAGTATAACGTCTATGATTATAATACACTACAAGGAGTTATTGTGGGCATGTTCAACGTTTTGATGTTTTACATTATATCAACAATTCCATTCTATTGATATGTTATGAATATTCGTATCTGTAAGACGACTAATTTGATGTGCCACATGCGAACACTTGGTAAATTTACTGTTTATTTATCTTACCGGTAAAAATCTACCAAACTTACATCTCTACAAAATATATCTATGGCTTAGAAATTTATTGGACTATTCAATAAAAAAAAGTAAATTAAATAAGTCCTGACTCCCACTTAAAACTATCTTTTTGATTTGAAAAAAAATGTTAGTCACCTTAAAGGATATTTAAAATTTCACACAAACAACAATTAATATATTTAGCATTTTATTTTATTCAATATAAATTACAGTTTAGAGTTCTAATAAACATTATACATAACTATCAAAAAAATGCATAATAAATAATAATTATTGAAAATTTAAATGTAATAACAAATGGATGAAAAAAAAAGAATTTAAAGATTGTTTTGTATGAGTTAGAGTTTAGATGGTCATAGACCTAAAATCGCTCTTTGATTGATTACCAAATCAAATTTGTTATCTGATGCGATATTAACATCAGTCTGCAATGGTGTACATGTTCAGAAATGAGGGGAATGGGAACAGTGTACCGGAATGTTTACAACAGTTATTAGTTTTATATTAAGTTGTTATAAAAGTAGAAAAAAAAACTTTAAAATGTATAGTTGTATTTTATAATCAAGATAATTAAAACTTATAATCATCGATTAAAATTATTATTTAATACATGCAAATAAACATTTAAAACTTAATCTCAGGAAGAGCTGGTAAAATACTTTTATTTAAATCCTTGAAATAACTATGTTGGAGTGAATCTCTTGCATTGATTCGTTTGCTTGGATCATAAACCAACATTTGCTAATAAAAAAATATTATGTATTAAGTATGAAATAAGATAAGTTAGTTATTTGAAATTACCCGCATTAAGTCCACTCCACCGGAACTGAGGTTTTTCACTGAATCTGCTAACATATTATCACTCCATTTCGGAAAAGTCGGCTTATAATCCTTAAGATCGGAAACTCCTGGCCATGTATCTTCAGTTGGAGTAGTCAAAATCCTATAACATTTTATTTTAAACAATTGTATTCACTTAATAAGAATGATGACTAAAATTAACAGAAATACATTGATAAATCACTACTCTGATTTATAATTCAAAATGTTAATGACATGAACAACCCAGATACACTTTGACATAAGTGAACCTTGTTCAGTTATTAGTATCCTTGTTCGGAATAAAACTGAGGTATTTAATTAAATATTAGGTTTTAAATCATCTATGGAGCAAGTGGGTTTTGTCATATTGTTACCAATGTTTGGTAAATTGTTTTTAATGTAGAAGAAATGGTTGAAAACTATGTTTGAATGTTTTATTAATTGTTATGCAGCGCCCAGGTGTTTATTTGTATGTTAAATAGTATAAAGTTTAAAACTGTGTTAGAGTGTCTAGTTATCAGTCATCTACAAGTCATCTTGTTAATTCATTTTTTTTCCTCTCAAAAATCATATAAAAGATATAATTTACCTGAAAATACGAAACAATTGATCAATTTCTGAATCTCCTTGAAATAAGGGTTTTCCTTGTGCCATTTCTGCAAATATACATCCTATGGACCAAACATCAATTGGGCAGCCATAACGTTGTGTGTTTAACAATACCTCTGGAGCTCTGTACCATAGCGTTACTACCTAAAATTATTATTTCTTATTATTGCCTAGGATATTTAACAAATAATTACAGGGGATCATAAGTTCATTCATTAAAAAACAATTGCATATGAATGTAACAATAATAGTTTAAACGCATGATCATATCCAAATTTCCCAAAAACGTTGAAACATGCTACAATTAAATATTAAACAAAGTGTCATCTTGAAGCAAATTTCTTACCTAGCTTTTAATACAACTTGGCATGATTGATAAGCAAATTTATGAACTTATGAGCTTTGGTAATTATATTGGGACTACAAAATAATTATTATGTAAGGAAAGTATATTAATCTTCTAGTGTCAATTTGTATGTACAATAATTTAATTCTCAAGAGGACGTCATACCCGCATACCAACACTTAATGTTCATAATGTATCAAAATGTACATCCAGCCGTTCCAACTTTGTATTGTTAGCTTAAAAGTGAATTGATGTATTATCAAACTTCAATGAGAGAACACAGGTAATGTTCTTACATTTAAGTTTGATCATAGGCAGGTTCACTTTAATATTTAAGTTAACAATACAAAATTGGAAATGCTCTGTGTACATTTTAATATATTATGCATTAATAAGATGGAGACAGCACATCAGGTAGGAAGTCCTCCTAACTAGTAAAAAAATCAACTTAGAATAATTTAAATTTGTTATCTGTCCAAAATGTTACGTAAATTATACACAATATTTCCAAAAATGTGACCAACATTAACTTATATTATATGAATTATTAAAAATAAAACATTTTTTTTTAAAATAAATAATGAAAGAATATGATGACGTGATTCAAGGATAGACAATTAGTAGTTCAGCAGTAACAGACAAACCTAAAGTTACTTATTAGGAATATAAGATGTATTTAAGTTTTGTCTTGAATTAACCAAATAAGTGTAACTAGAATATACGTGGTTACTTTTGGTAAATAAAATGGACAGATAAAACAAATAAAATCATTAAACACTTTCTTAATAAAAACAGTTATCAATCCAGAAATATTGAATAAATATTTGTAAATACCTCATGAGTGTACACACGTATTGGCAAACCAAAAGTACGGCCCAAACCAAAATCAGCAACTTTCAGTATATTGTGCTTAGTGTCAATTAAAATATTTTGTGGTTTAAGATCTCTATGTAAAATTCGTCTCACATGGCAAAAGTATATAGCAACTAATAACTGTAAAAAATTAAAAAAATTAATTTTATTTAATTATTGTTTCGGGATATAAATAATTATTACCTGATAAGTGAATGACTTTGTAGTAATTTCATCCAAATGTTTTTTAGGCCTTGAATCAATAAATTTTTTTAAATCCATAGGAACAAACTCAAATACAAGATATAATCTTGAATCATCCATGAGAATTTCTCGCAAACTATTCATAAAAATGTCAATATTATATATGTAAATACTAAATACACCAGAGTAAATTTAATATCTTAAACATTACTTCACAATATTAGGATGATTGAGTTCCTTCAAAATACTAATTTCTCGAATGGCTGTAGCAGGTATACCTTCGTCTTCCATTTCCATGCGTATTTTCTTCACAGCAACAATTTCTTTTGATGAAAGTTCCATACATTTGTATACGACACCATATGTTCCTTCTCCAATTTTTTCCAGTTTATCGTAGTTATCCATTATAACAATTCTAGAAAAAAAGATTATATAATTTAAAAAATATTTAGGTATGTAATTCTATGTTAATTGTAGCATCTTGCTCATTAACATTATCATAATTGCTCGGACAAAATTAAATTGTATAGGCACATTATACAATAATGTATACAAATATATCTAATATCAAAAAATAAAATCATGTCTCCTCATTCTCTCTTCTGTTCTAAATGTATTTATCACTAAAGGTTCCATTACTTCCAAGTCTATGGGCTATCCATATTTAATATTTCAATTTCCACACTTATAATTATCTCTATTATCAGCTTTATAATTTCCTCATTAGTTAGTCATCTTAATTTATAATTTTTCATATTTATAACTGTCCCCTATAAATTATATACTGAACCATCAATTTAGTATTAATTATATGTCTAGTATAAATGTACATATAAATATATAATTTTATTTCATATAATTCTAGATTAAGATTCTAGATATCAGATTCAAATTGCCTACCAATTTTCTTAGGAGTTTAGGTAATTTAAACTTGCCATGTTTTAAAACATTTTTTTTAATAAATATAAATTGAAACTTGTCGTGTAATCAGTGCTTGACTCGGCAAAATTAAAGTAGGGGGAACTCTGTTTACTTTTAAAAAAAGAACATCCCCATCACTAGTTAAACATTATTGAGTCTTCACACTCCCGAATTTCTCTATTTACATCATATAGAAAAAATGTATAAATAGTCAATTTAAATTTAAAAAAAAAATATAAGTTAATATAATAAATAGGTAATTACTGTAGGTACCTAGTATAATTATACCTATATATTTTTTTTTTTAAATTTTTTATTGTAAATATAAATAAGATGTTTGACATATTATTAAAATGTTTACAATAAAGTATCTACCTCCTTTAAGCATAATGCTTGTGTTGGTGGTAGAGAGTTACATTACATGAATATAGACAAAATTATTTACAAAAAAAACTAATTCAAATTACAAATAATTAAATACAGTAACATAATAAATTTCATAATTAATATTCAAAGTTTCATATCTTATTCCACACATAATTATATAAGATTGAAAATGTATTTATTTATTTTTATACAACTATCAGTGAAAATAACCATGAGTTTTTTTTATGTGTAAAGGCATTGCATTATAATAATTAGGACCTAAATAATCAATGAAATGTTGACCAAAATTTTTTTTACAATAAAATACTTTGACATCAAAGGCCATCAATTCTCGTTTTTTTCTCATATTTTCCACAACAAAAAAATGTTCATAATTTTTTATTATGTACATAATAGATACCTTTTTATATACACTCTCGACTGGTAGCACATTCAACACCTTAAAATTTTCACCTGTTGAACCTATTAAATTATTTCTACCTAAACAAATTCTGATAATTTTTCTTTGAAATAAAATTAGTGGTCTAACCGCGTTTTCATTCAAACCTCCCCATACCAACAAACCATACTGAAATATTGCCTGGAATAATGATACATAAATTATACGCATCACGTTCACAGGCAGGAAGTTCCTTAACTTAAAAAAGCTAAATGATAAAGTACGCATGCGCATAACAGTAGTCTTTACATGCAAATTCCATCTCATATTACTATCATATTATAGTAATAAATAATAGTTTAGAAATAATAAGTTAGGTAATATTAGTAAAAATATCGCCTACCAACTATTAAAAATAATAAAAAAAATAGCTGGGGTAAGCCCCACAAGTCGAGCACTGCATGTAATTTGTTTTTCTAATCTAGGAATTGAGCATCTTAGATCTTGGACCTACCCAATTACCCACCTACCATAATCCCCAAACTGAGATATTAGGTGGGTAGCGATTGTATATAATGGCAATAACAAAACTATAAATATGCTAGGTTAAACCAGTGTGAAAAATAATGCACCCGGACCTTATTATCATCTACACGGGCTCATTATTCTGGAGAGGCATATGATGATTAATGGGAGATAATTTTTAAACCTGTCTAGTTTAACGAATTTCCAGATAGTGTTCAGAACAGCAGAACGTTATTCAGGCACTTCCGGATTCGGTCGGAAAACTCCTAGAGCATAAGTTTACATGTTCTATCGAGGTGAACGGCGAAAACCAAACAATAACAACACGGGGTTAGGCGAAATCGCAAAATGCCTCGGCGAGCGCGGGCCCGACTTAAACAAAACTTGGTACCTATTTTCGAATCAGTGACGGACCTTTACAGTACCTACTTAATAGTTATTATTATCTATTGCGTACTAATTAACTGGACTTACCTAATTGACTGTCAGCCTGTAAATAAAAATTAAATAAATTAATAACGGTCAAATAAAAGTCTACACTTGGGTGCTTGACACAACTCTAATACATCGTATTTACTATTTATTTTTTTCTGATTTTTCAAACACAACACCCGTCCTCACCGACCGATACAAAACGACGGTTAATAAACTACTTTGCAGTTTACGTCTCTCACTCCCTCCTAGCCTCCCTGTATTGTTGCCAGCTGACAAGTGGTTACCAAACCATAATATGATCCAAGTACCAAACCAACGAAAATGTATGTTAGCAGTATGTTATTAAATTAATTTGAATATTTTAACGGCCAATTTTAAATTTATATAAATTCACAAGTCTTACGATTTTGTTGACAGTATTAACTTATTAGCCATTTGGTATAATTTAAATGTATATGTTGACCCAAAATTGGATAAAATTTCGATCTTACAATATAAAATTATTGTGCTACATAACACAGCGGTGGTGTTACCAACATCTAACGAACAATGTTATCGGCGGGCGGGCGCCATCAAAAATTCAAATTTAAATTTCTAAATTTCTTATCATTCTGTTTTTATTTACGATTTACTATTGAAATTCCGATTGATTTTCGAGTATTCGACCTTTTAAATTCTTAATACTTAATTGGTTAAATTACGTTATCTTTGCGACTCAAAGTCGTTTAAAACAAAATAGGTATACTTATACTAGATTTCAATAGCACAGTGGCGTAACTTAAAAATTTTGGCCGGGAGCGAAATTTTCAGTGGTATAAAATCTAAAATATCTTTTAAATTCTAGTGGATAACTAATTATAAACGATAAGTTTTTTGATGATTATGGGTAGGCTGAAAAATTTTTCCCATTCAACAGTTTTTGCATAATTCAATTTACAGTTTATAACTATTGCGGTCATGGGCGAAAACAGGTGGTGGATGGGGGGGCTTAGCCCCCCCCCCCAAAAAAAACCTTATGATTTCATTACTATAATTTAAAAGCATCATAAGAGTATGAAGTATAGACCTGAGCTACAGCCCTTCAAATTTCAAACACTATTTACGGCATTTACGCTTATGATTCTGGCAGTAACAAATTGGTGTAAATGGTCTGAACAAGATATAATCGGCCAGGATTGCTTAAACCACAGATTTATCATTTATATTGTACACAGGGCCGAACTTAAGGGTCTCAGGGCCTCAAGGCAGCTATTAAAGAAGGGCCCTTTTAAATATATATTAATAAAAACTGCTTTTAATTTGTATAGAATTCAACATACTATTCATCGGCGTCCTCTAAAATAACATAATTTTGACCAAACTACACATACAATAGTGGCATCATATAAAATAGTAAAAAGCAAATAAAGTGGTAAAAAAAAATAAATAGTAAATAATAGTGGTCATTTTGGTCGATCAATTATTAATAATCAGTATTATTCAGCGTTTACAAAATAAAATTTAAATAAAACACAAATTAATTACTATAATCTTATTATTTTATTAATATATTATTATTATTAGTATATTATTATAGTATACATTGCTACTATAGTCTATAAAGAACTATAATATAGTAGCAATAATGCAATATAGTTAGTATAAACTATAAACTGTAACGTATAAACCACTGAAGACGGGTTAATTTATAATTTACATTTGACATTAGTACCTACTACCTACATTTTTTCAATAAAATAAACATTTTTAATCTCTGTTATTGTTTGAAACTAAATAGTCACGTCGGCTTAGATGAACTGGATATATTTAACTAACATGCTGACTTAAATATATCGTATAATTTTTAAAGTTAAAATCGTTTTGTAGGTATAACGTATGAGAATAAATTATTACTGATTTATATTATGAACAGCTATATTATTGTACTTACGTAATTTTTGCAGTTGACACCAACACGGCAACACGATCGGAGTGTAAATGAAAATTAAATCGTAATAACTGATAATCGTACCCCTGGCTTTCAAAACAAATTATTTATAACTTTATGTACCATAGACTATTGGTTTTGATCACGGTTTAAGATAGAGTCTATCTTAAACTGTGGTTTTGATGTAAAGATAAAGATAACGCCGTGTACCAGTACCTGAACTGATTTTGCATGCGGGCTGGCGAGCGGGCGACGCGATAATAATTATTCACTATTTTAAGAATGTTAAGTGTTTACGATTACGGCTATACATTTATTTACGGGTTTCGGCTATAAATATAATCGAATAGAAACAAATAAACACTGATAAACACCACAAAATGTATTTATTTATGTTTATATACGGTTCCATAAAACTAAAACACAACATAATAATATTAATTTCTAAATTACTTCCTCTCAATAATATTCTATATTATACACGAACTATTTTCCGTGTTAATCAATTTATGTGTGTGATACCTTTTTTTTTTGTGTGTGTTTCCCTGAGGGCCCCAGAAAGGCAAGGGCCCCTAGGCAGCTGCCTAGTTTGCCTAGGCGGAAGTTCGGCCCTGATTGTACACTATGTTTAGTATATAAGTCTGTGACTCAAACGGGAATTTGTTTACTTATCGAATCACCCATAGATGTATCATATAATTTTTAAGTATTTTTAAAATCATGGTTTTCAATTTTTATATAGAACATAACGCAACAATTATTTTATTAAAATAACATTAATAATGGGATTATGGGATTTTTTCCGTTAACTTATACAAATTTATACACAAT